AAACGATGCATTTCAAACCTTAATTAACATACTGTAGTTACAAAATTATAAACCTACTTGCCGAGTATCCATACTTATATAATTGTGGTAATCCCTTCGTTGTATTATACATATTTATAGACTACAAACCAATACTTACATAGTAGTGTTCGCCATAGCTTGTATTGCAGCCGAGTGTTGTCTGTGACGACATGCACACCGCGTTATCAGTCTTAAGACTTATCTATAGGTTGGTAAACTTCCTACACCATACAAAACGGATGATTAATACAGGTAAAACGTGTATTTATCGACGAAATTGGCGTTTTACGAAATATCGATCGTTTGATAAAATAGGCAAGGTAGACTTGTACCAAACATCTAGCGGTACAGTTGCGGGTATGACTACTAAGCGAGTCGTTGCAAATGACAAGACCCGATGCCTTCAAAAGTAAAAACTGTTTTTGCACGAATCAATAAAAAATGAATTTAAATACTTGGATTCTAATTCATTAACCTTAACCTTAAATTAAAATATTTCGTTAAAATCATCACAGGTTGTTAATAAGAGTTGTAGTAATATTCTGTCTTGAAGCCATTTTCATACGCTGTTTGGAAATGATCTGGTAAAGTTGACCTCGTGTATGACAAGTGTCTATGTTTTAAAACCTTTTAATGGGTCATAAATAAGGGGGAAATGTAGAAAACAACGATTTAAGGTTCCTATAAATATAAGACAGATAAACTCATTTGAACTTGTATGTTGACTAAAAAATGAATAAATGACGTTTTTGTTGACGTTTATAATGAACACAAGGGTATGAGGTAAGAATAACCACACAAATGCTATATATGGGTGGCGGTTCGGGCCAAAAACGATATATAGTAACGCGTTAAAACAGTAACGCGTTAGAAGTGACTTTTAACGCGTTAGAACTGACTTTTAACGCGTTAGAAGTACATTTAATGCGTTAAAAGTCACTTCTAACGCGTTAATTTTTCAAATGTAAAAGTTACGCGTTAAAATTCACATCTAACGCGTTACAATGGTAAATGCACTGGCCAATCAGAGAAATCGTTTCATAGTTGATGCTTTTGATATTTAAAATAACTAAAAATGTTATGCCTATTTATATTGAGAGAAAAAACCCAGACAATAACCCATTTCCACATCATATATTTCTTCTATGCGTGATGTGGAAATGGGTTATTGCCTGTGTTTTTTTTCAGGAAATGACCTATTTTTGGGGAACTTCAAAAAGTCATTTTTGCTTTCTCGTTTCTTCATTAAACAATTCCTGTATGAACATAAAATTATCACATAACAAGAGTACCGCGGGGCGGAACAATATACGCCCGTCGAATGCCATATAGTGTTATATACTTTCTTACATTGAAATAAGATCTACATCATTCAAAGAGTGGTTAGCTTACATGCTATAAAAATGTAGGAGAAAATATCCGGATAAAAAAAATCAAATACTGAAATGAACAATGGGAGATAACTTTTGCAAAAATCGTTGAATCAAAATTCTTTTCAAGGAAACACAACAACATACAGTCATGATTATTGTGCCTATTAAGTTTCAAAGAGATCTGTTGAAAAATGTAGGAGGAAATTGCCAGACAAAAATCAAATACCGAAATGAACAAAGGGCAATATCTTTTGGAAAAATTGTCGAATCAAATTCTTTTAAGGAGGACACAACTTCATATCATGATTATCATGTATGTATACCAAGTTTCAAAGAGATCCGTTGAAAAATGTAGGAGATTGCCGGGAAAAAATCAAATACTGAAATAAAAAAAGGGCAATTACTTTTCCAAAAAGTTGTCGAATCAAAATTCTTTTCAAGGAAACACAACAACATATCATGATGTCCATTAATGATCCGTTGAAAAATGTGGGAGGAGATTGTCGGACAAAAATCAAATACTGAAATGAACGAAGGGCAATAACTTTTGGAAAAAATGTCGAATCAAAATTCTTTTAAGGGAGACACAACTTCATATCATGATTATGATGTATACCAAGTTTCAACGAGATCGGTTGAAAAATGTAGGAGGAGATTGCCGGACAAACAATAGTTTACGCCGGACGGACGAACGGACAACGCCATACCATAATTCTCCCTTCAAATTTGACGGGCGTATAAAAATTGTTTAGAGTCCTCAAGCACTCCTTCCAACACGTTTCTCGTTGCATTACATTTCTCTCAATATCGTATTGTCACATGTTTATATTTACATTTGCATGGCATTGTCACTATATAGCCTCTTTGGAAGCTGTGTCGTTGATGGGACTTTAATTACCATGCACATCGGTTGAAATCACCAATGCCGGCAATGGAAACAATTTTAACGCTCATGCAATTTATCAGAAATATCGTCTGTTACACTGCACTTATCAACAGGGGTTCGTTACAAATGTCTGAAATACACATATTCTATAGACCTACTGACACATATGTTACAGACCTACTGATATGAGTTATTTGATCTAGCTATGGTATAACCAACTTATTTTACACAGTTTTACTAATACCATATGGTATTAGTGAGGCTCCTCCCCTATACTGAATACAATAGAATTCTCCATTCTCATTGGTCAGCCAATGAAAGTGTACAGTGGCCAATTAGTGAATGTTAATAGGATATCGACACCGTGGGAAATAAATAAACATACAAATACAGGAAGTTCAAACACATTTTATTACGCAACATTGTTGCAAACAATTCAACAAATTTCGCCTTTACAGACAGGTTCCACGGTCGATATTTTTTCCGTTTTGTAAGTTAAAGTCTTAGCATAAACTGGTACCAGTCGGTCTTGTAATTAAAAGACACGTGGCAATTGTGAAACACATTTCTGGACATACTAGAAATATCAGCAAATGGGACATGGTCCTTTACTGTAGGCATGTTAATATTCACAACAGTAGGCTTAATATCTGAGTTACCATTTTTACATGTAGCGCCCTCAATTTTTACCATTTTCTCCTTCGGAGGGTCCAATAATTTTCTCACTTCTAACAAGGGTACATACAGCACACAGTCACTTGAAGCTCGAACTGCTGTGCTCCTGTGACAAGTTCGGGACAAATGTTCAAATGTTCGCTTAAAATTGTTACGTGACACTTTATGCGACAAGTCGGTTACATCATAGGCCTCGCAATATGTCAGTTATCGTACTCGAGGGGCGGAGCTTACATCTCTCGCGCTACGCGCTCGAGAAGTAGCTCCGCCCCTCTCGTACAATAACTAACATATTGCTCGGTTCCAGGCTATGATATAACCAATACATAAACATTTCAGACGCTTGTAACGAACCTGTGCTCCGTCGGAAGATCACTCACTCAAACTTCAAACGCTATCAGTTTCACGCGTCTCGCATCCACGGACAGTTCCTCGGTTTCTGACGACATGTCAAATAACGAGTCTGTTATAGAATCTACCGACTGTTGTCAGGTTCCCATACAATCAACAAATAAATTCACGCCTGGATTCTTCACAAAATGAGCGAAGAGAAAAGTTCGAATTAACTTCCAAAAATAACTCCCTCGTGGAGGGCAAGGTCGGATTTACGGTGTTCACTGTATTTGTCCATGCGCGAAATTTGTTCCGGGGAAAAATCGAAACAATTTTAAATCTAACTTTCAGCTCAGAGTTCTATTGATAAACTTAAATCACCCTATAGACATTTCATACGCAATTATATTGATACTGAATTGTGGAATAAAATTGAAGTGTTTGTTAAAATTTCAAAGTACTACTTTGTTTGCCAATCAGCACGCGACAATACGCTGTTCAAACTATTGAACGAAATTGTGTGGACTGTCGATAAGGCTGGCATTTTTAATTTTAAATATAAATTATAAGTCAAAAAAGAACATAAGAGGCAGCGAAAACGTAAATATAAGTATTGAACTGTTTTTGTATGGTATTTATGATCTATTTGAATGACACAGCTTTGCAAGCAAACAACATAATGCGCGCTAATAAATACATTTGTACCATACAAAAACAGTTCAATGCTTAAGGTCATAGGAGTGTATTGCTTTACGGAAATAGGAAGTACATCCCTAGTTGAAAATCCAATGTAGGGAGACCGTATCACAATTTCCGCATATTCTAATGTTTAATATTTAATTGATGAATATTGTCTGCTTATTAATGACAGAATAGTGTGTTCTTTCAATATTAAAGTATTGCAAAGCAATCCAGGCATTAATTCAGTTGTTTTTTAATCAATGAGTCACATTTGTCCATTTTTCTGTACTTCAGGAAACCGGCTACCTATTTCACTACTGTGAAGTTTTTCAAGGACGATAACTCTTGCGTGCAATTACTATGTGTATATGGTTTTATTATAAAATGTCAATTTTTAATCGTTTATAGATGATTCATTTTACACAATTGCAGCATTTATGAAATTGATATAGAGTAATGCAATACTAATCTATGTTAGTATCATTTTTATTGACATTATTTTGCAAAAAAAATGTGTTTCAAATTTTTTCAAAATTCAATCCTTTTTACATAAATTTCCATTTTAAATCCTTAAAATTCTGACAACCTATATTTTTTTTGTGGCAGAAAATTTTCTTTACTTCAAAGCAATATAAATACAAAATTTGAATAAATTCTACTGAGAAATGGCGACACAATCCTATTACCTTAAATGTGCGTAAAGTTTTGTAGCGGAATAAGTCCGGAAATATTTTCTCCGTTGGTTGCTTAAGAGTTACATTTAACATTCATCTATATCGTAGCAGTGTTTGACACGAAGTTAATAAATGTATTGGGTTCTTAGCGTGAAATAGACCCTGTATATTAGGCGCCTAAAGTCAAATTTTGTGGATTGTCTGACAGCATTCATTTGGTAAGATGACAATACAATGTGATCACCATACGTATAGGAGATCCTTTTTTAATATTACAAGTAAAGCGATCCATGCCCCTGTGATACGTACTGCTTTAGCTCTTCTGTCAAGGGAGGTAATCGAATGATTTGTTCGCAGCAGAAAGTCTACGAAATTCTTAAATGTTTACTGCTGATGTTCCGATTTGATCAATAATAGATATATGAACAAATATATATTTCATTCCTTCACCACAGTTTAATTGCTGTCAACCATTGTTCTAGTTAAGCTGGATCAGGTGACTTAGCTACTGCTGTGGAGTGCTTGCTAACTGAAACTTCAGGCATATATTTTCATTTAATGCATCAGTTTATTCCACTAGATAATGATCATGACTGCATTATGTTGTTGTTTCAGGGCATGTTTCTGTTGCCAAGTAACTCAAGGAAGAAAGAATGGTTTCCAATATACAGATTGAGTCCTGGGTTCTAATGCATGCCTGCAAATACAAGTATCACCATGTTATAAAAGGTAAATACCAAAAAGGGATTTTGTCTGATTTTGAATTAGGATCATTACCCTGGAAAGTATATCAAAATTGTTGATACGTACATCATATTAAACTTGGAAAAGTTTGTAAAAAGGGTTTGGAAGTCTTCGTACATGTATAAGGTGTGTTATGAATTAAAATCAGTGGCGGATCCAGAGGTTTTTTTTGGGCTTCAAAACCCCCCCACCCTAAGTATTTTCTTTAAAAATCATATATTTTCACCATTTTCCTCAATTTTTCCAACATGGAAACCCCCCCCCCCCCCCAGGAAATTTGGAAACCCCCCCAGATAGGTCTCTGGATCCGCCACTGAAAATTATAATATATGTATATCTAGGAATGGTGCTTTAAGCAGGTTCAGGTTGGGCACAATGGCTCATATGGGTAATAATCCTGCATTTGGGTTACAGTTACCCATTTGAGTAACAATTTTATTACTTTATTCCCCATTTCAGTAATAAAATTGTTACTCAAAAGGGTAAATGTTATACCCAAATGTAGGATTATTACCCATATGAGCTGTTGTGCCCAACCTGTTAAGTAGTATGTTATACACAAGAAATATTATTTCTTTGCATTTGACAGATTCACAACTGCCATTTTGAAAACCTGTATTAACGTTGAACTCAAATTCTATTATAAGCTCTGGCTGATATAGCTGAAACTTTTTTTAGTAGGACACAAATGACCTGTTGCGTTGGCCTTTCCTTTGATTATTCATACTACCAGTATGAATAATCAAAGGAAAGGCCAACGCAACAGGTCATTGGGGCTACCAGCCCAAGTTTCATCTGGTCCTATAAATAGACTATCAACAGACTTAGACGTTTTGACATATAGATGTCTGGTGTGGGGCCAGATCTAGAGTGCACTGCTATATGAAAACGTGGAATTCTCCGACACCATTTGGTATTGGGGAGTGACTAATCAACAAAAAGTTGCGGTCCGGAAATCTTCTAAACAAGAATAACATATTCCATATGTCATAATAGTAGATTTTTGTTGTCGTCACGTCATAAGTTATCACTGTTATATGAAAACATGGAATTCTCTGACACCATTTTGTATCGTAGAGTTATGACGTGCCGACACAACACATACCTCACATATATCGATAAATGGACCGAAAATGGAATATGTTATTCTTGGTTAGAAGATTTCCGGACCGCAACTTTTTGTTGATTAGTCACTCCCCAATACCAAATGGTGTCAGAGAATTCCACGTTTTCATATAACAGTGCACTCTGGCCCAACATTAGAGTGCCCCACACCAGACATCTATATGTCAAAATGTCCAAGTCTGGTGTTAGGGCCAGAGGAAACTCTGGTTATCATACTGGCTGGTTACATTCCTTGTGTACAGTAGGTATACATAAGTCCACATGTTAACTGAGATTCACTCAGTTCAGGTGGATTGCATTAGTACATACATATCATTCACAGAGACCTATTGTCAATAATCGTGTCAGCTTGTTATTAATAAATCAAACGCGATATAAATTATCAATCAGCATTATTTTTTTTTCATATTTCATCATTTATGCAAGTGATTTCTGAAATCAATGTTTGATCTTTTCACTGTATCACAATATTAAGATTGTTAGCTACTTTGGACCCAGTTTTAATGACAGCAAGTGCTAACACTGAATGAGAGGGTTTATTTTTTAATATTTGGGCAAAAATTGATGCCAGCTAGGCCAGAGGTACATATCCTTTCTTCAGATTGATGATCATAAGCTGTTAACTTAATTGTATTACATGCCATTAAATATCATAGCCAATTTTCACCTTGATATAAAATGAAGCACTGTTAGTGACAAAAGAAAAACTTTCTTATCAAAAATAAATCTTTTTCAAGGTTGGAAATGAAAGGGTTTAATTTATAATACAGATGGTAGAAAATATGTATTAAGTTTGTTTTACAGTTGTCAATACTTTTCAACTATCAACATACCTGAAATGTATGTGAGTACCTGATCATGAACATATTTGACCTCTTGATTTTTAAAGCATATACTTATGAATTATTATTTAACATTTTCTGGTAATTAATATTGAACTATTATGATAATTACCATACAGGCATTCTAAATCGTCACCATGACAACCTCGAAGAACTTGATGTCCCAAAGATCTACCTATCCATTGCTATGATATATAACACTGTGATGACCGACAATGTCCTGTACTATCCTGTAGTTGTCCATCACCTGGATTACATCTATAGTGAAGTTCCTGATGCAGTCCCTTTCAAGCTGTACAGCAAACTCACCATGGGTCTGAAGATGAAGGTATATCACCAGTTTATTTACCAACCAATAAGTGTTTTCAACAAGGATTTTTTTTTTTTTTTTTTTACTTATATTCCCTTATGTATCTTTTTAAAAATGAAATATTTGCTTTGATCGGGTCACAAATGAACTAATTGTGGAGACTTGTATTCACTTGCATTGTTATTTTATTTCTATTTGTCCGTCAAAATTGACAGGACATATTATGGTGTGGCGTTATCAGTGTCTGACCGTAACTGTTTGTCAAGAGCTCTCCTCCCTAGCTCTTTGACTGACCTCTTGAAACTTGAAAGACAACATGTCAAGTACAGTAGTTGTGGTTTGCAGTTATTTAGAATTTATGTTTTTTTAAAGAAATATTGCCCTTTGTTCATTTTGACATTAAAAACTTGTCCAGAAATCTCCTCCCTCAGTTTTTGACTGATTCCCCTACACTTGAATTGTCATATCATAAAGTTGTGGTTCTCAAATAAAAATTTAGATTTGGAAATATCTGAAAGACTTGTTGCCCTCTGGGTGGCCAAGTGGTTAAGGCATCTTATATTCTACTACACCGGTAGCCCTCCACCGGTACCACTGGGTTGCTGGTTTCAGACCTACGTGGGGCAGTCGCCAGGTATTGGCCATAGGTTGGTGGTTTTTCTTTAGGAACTCTGGCTTTCCTCCACCACCAAAACCTGGCACATCCTTAAATGACCATAGCTGTTAATAGGAGGTAATTAAACACAAACAAACCAAACCAAGCTCTGTAAGTCTGATCTAGAGGCCTCCTCCTTCAGATATGTTTTATAAACTTTCTTAAAACTTGGTGGACTTTTTAATTATCTGGTAATCTAATTGAGTTTTCGAAGTAATTTTTTACCAAAGATATAATATTGCCCTTAGTTTATTTTGATATTAAATTTTGTCTGTAGATCTCCTTCTCTTTGTTTTTAAATAAATCTTCTTGACACAGGCTAGTCACGGCCATGGATCAACTAGCCCTAACGTGAATATCTGGTGTTTGGCGAGCATAATTGTAAGCCCCCCCCCCCTTTTTTTTTTTCACCTCCCTTAATAATTCATCTTTACTGAGAAATATAGTTCAAAAGTAGTTTTTCTTGTTACTTTTCAGTATTCTCATACATTTGAATGCAAGAATGCATCAAAAGTATTCTAAGTATGTCACTTTGACATTAGAAGGGCTTACATCTGAAGATGCTTTTTGCAAGCTACATGTATCTGGTGGTTTGTCTGCTTCTTTTACATGGTAAATGTGTAAAACATGTTGGTAATATGTCTGTTTGACCCTTTCCACAGGTATATATGTAGGTATTTGGTTTAACCATACAGCTATCAATACCTGTACAAATATACCTACCCACGACATTATACATGTATCAGTTCTTACAACCTATAATTATAACCTGTGGGCAATCTGCTGGAGAATGTCAGCAATCTGGTAATAATTTTCAAACTATGCAACATTGTAGCTCTTTCATGCTATCTCTCGTGCAGGATGTATGTAGAAATTCTAGTATGATATTAAATTTACTTGCAGTGTGCTATGGACTTACTGAAGAAGAACCATGATGATGCGCTGATGGTACTGAACAGATACTTCCCCCGCAAAGGCAGTCACTACGAGCATGTGGTTAATATCATTTTCTGACTACATGTAACTTTATAAACTAGCTGTAATTTTCAAAATGAAAAATTGGAATGATCATTCTTGCATGTGTGGGGTTTTAAAGGTTTTTTTCTGCCTGATTTCATAAATTAATAGTCCTTTAACTCTTCAGAGGTATGCTTGTTATGTATAGCTTTGCTTTAGACCTGTAGTTATATTATATGTAAATATTTTCATTTTTCATGTGTCTATTATAAATGCTAGCCATTTCTGTAAATTTCACTTGGTTATCCTTAAAATTACAGGCCAAAACAGCAGATTTCATATTGATTTCATACTTTAATACTGTTTCATAGATAAATTCATTTCAACAGATTCATAGAGAGCTGTCATGTCTACACTCTGCCCAGAAGAACTTCCGGAAGTTTTTTCTGCCACTATTAGCACATCAAAACCAGAGAGAGGCTTACTTTCGGGATGAATATGAGGATGAGTATGGACAACACTACCAGGAGGCACTTCAAAAGCTGGGTGCCATGTTTGTTGAGAAGCTGACATCCCTCTTACCCCCAACAGTCATAGAAAAGGTGGGCAGCTATGTGTTATCATAAAACCTATTCATTAAAATTGCAAGGTTACTAACTTCATTAGTCCCCCACCGGAAGGGGCGAACTATAGGTTTGCACTCTGTCCAAAGAGTTTGTTTGGGCATATGTTCTAGACTCTTTCACCGGGTGTAACCCCATTTGGTATACAAGTACATCTTTGGTAGGTGGAGTGTCAAGTGCAAAACGTAGGTCACTGTGACCTAAGGTTTGACCTTTGACCTCAACCTTTGAAAAAGTTTGTTGGGGGCATATATTATATATTATTTCACCTGAAGTTGCATGTCACTAAGACCTCTGTTTTAACCTTTGAAAAATGTGTGCAGAACACATCTTTTATACTATTTAACACGGAGTAGCATACATCTTTAGATGGCAGAGTGTAAAGTACAATGCTTTGACCTTTATCCTTTGAAAAAGTTTGTCCACAGCATGTCAACTATACTCTTTCATCTGGAGTAATCAGTTTTGGTATGCATGCATGCTTTTGCTGTCTGAGTGTGGAGAAAGAGAAGGATGTCACTGTGAACTATACCCTGAGATAGGTTTACAGCTCAGTAAATGAAGAAATCGTTACCGGTGAGGGACTGTGGATTGTCTTGCAATACACTTTGCCTTGTTTGAATAGAATTTTTTTAATTTTTATTAGGGCATCTAAACTTTAGCTCAAGTGACCTATTGCTATCCGACTCCATCGTGTGTCGTCCGTTAACATTTTACATTTTCAGCTTAAGCTGAAATACAGTCAAAGGGATTTCATTGATACTTCATTGGAATGTTACTGATATCTCCCTGACGAAGTGTTGTTATTTTTCGGGTCGATCATAAATCCAATATGGCCACCACGGCCACCATTTTGAAAATCTATTGCAAACTTAAAGTCAAGTTCTACTTTGCCAATTTAACTAATATTTGGTAGGAATGATCGACACATGGTCCTGACAAAGTGTTATTATTTTTCGGGTCGATCAGAAATCCAATATGGCTGCCACGACCGCTATTTTGAAAATTACTATTTCAAACTTAAAGTCAAGTTCTACTGGACCGATTTAACTGAAACTTGGTAGAAATTATCAAATCTTGGTCTTGGCAAAGTATTCCTTTTATTTCCAGGCCAATCAAAAATCCAATATGGCCGCCATTTTGAAAAGAAAATTTCAAACTTAAAATCAAGTTCTTATAGGCCGATTTAACTGAAACTCGGTCTAGGAATGATCAACTCATGGTCCTGACAAACTTAACTTCATGTTATACTTAACTATTTTTTACTCAAATTGGTAAGGATATTTCACATAATTATCTCCACTTCATATTTCAACAACAAAAATAAATACTATAGGATTCAGGTGACCGTTGAGGCCCATGGGCCTCTTGTTTTTTTTTTATCAAAATGTATATTTTGCATCTGAAACAAACAAATTATCAACACCATGCATGTAACATGTAGTTATTCATTGGTTAATTTGATCAGTTAACCAATCACTCTGTTCAATTTCATTGGCAAATGAAACGGACAATATTTTGTGGTTTCATTGAGTCCATCTTACAAAGAATTTGAAAATATTATAAAGTACTTTGCAGTTTTAGTGTTTTGGTACCTGTGCATACTGCTAGACAATGTGCTTGTAAAGCACAATAACTGTTTGAGTATAATAAGCTTACACATTGTAAAATAAATATGTTACAATAATCTTAAATACCAACTAAATAGTTTCTGCTGTACCAGTATCTGTTTTCTTATGGGCAGAGATTGTCACAAGGTTTTTTCATGAAATTGTGACTCAATGTTATGCATGTACATATGACCTTTAGACAATGAGTGAAAATTGTAATCCAAACTACTGAACGTCAAGTTTATTCATTTACATAGCTGTCAATTAACCCTCCCTCATTAGGAGGGAGACTCTCTCATTTTTACCAAAATTTACCAATCTCTCTTGAAACTCCCTCCTTCAAGTCTAAACTCACAAAAAGTCAAAATCTACATCCTGTGGTCAAATGATCTCCTAGTTACTGCAAGATGTGTGTAATGATCATAACAGATGTGTCTGAATCAAATGATCCCCTAGTTACTACAGGGTGTGTGTAATGATCATAACAGGTGTGTCTGAATCAAATGAATGCTTTTCGGAGTTATTTTGATAGATAAAAAGGGAAAGATACATTGAGCAAAGCAGTTTAAGTCGCGTTTCGTGCACTTTCTCCCTCTTTGGAAATGTGGAATAAAGGAGATCTCCCTCAGATGAGGTTTCAGAGGTTGACACCAATGTAATTGTCCCTATTACAGGTTATATACAAGTGCCCCCCTTCATCTCTGAATATGATTATCTATTGCAATAGTTATCTCCTCTAGATCCTGGCTGATGGTCCGGAGAAGTACCTGCCTCTGTCGGAGGGTTGCACACACCTTTTCATGGAGATGTTACTGGATACTCTACACGGAAAGGAGACTCTAGAGGAGAAAGACCTACTGGAGCTGCTGACCATGGTCAGTCCCCTCCACACCCAGGACCGTGTTCAAGTGGACAAGGTGTGGCTCCTTAGTTCAGAAGAAAGGTGAGAACCACAATGTAAACTGATACATAACCAAAACGTTGTTTTATCTATATATGTGAATGTTAATAGTTCAACTACAAAAGATGGTGAAAGAAAGAGCCAGCTTTTTTAACAAAATGCTTTTGACAATATATGAAAAAGGCTGATTAATATCCAAACTACATTGTTACTTCTTACATATTATAGCTTATTAGACACATCAGTTATTATGAAATTGTTGTTTTGAAAACACTGATATCTTTCAATAAATCATGCACTTCATTTACCTTCACTTGACTTTTTTAATTGGCTCAAAATATGACAAAATATACTATATGATATATCAATGTTTAGTTATTATAATATCAATCACAATACTATACAAGAAATATGATTTTCGATTAAAGCCTAACAAAAAGAACGTCTAAAGCATCAAGCTAATTACTATACATGGTCATTGTTTGCAGTAAAAAGACCAGTAGCAAGTCCCTGTTCTCCAGTGATTCAGATGGTCATCCGAAAGAGCTGGAACGTGACAACTGTCTTGCAGAGATCACAGACAGTGCTAAAACAATGGACGTTAATCTGACTGATAGCAATCAAAACCAAGTTGTAAATAGGAAATGTCAGGAGACCAGTACTGCCTCAAAGGATGACAATATGAAACGACTTAGGGATAGTTTTGGAGATTTCAATGATAAGAGACATTTGTTTCATTGTGCCACAAAAGATTCTCAAAACAGACAAATATCTGAGAAAGATTCTGAGCATAAGAAGAGTTGTGACAGTGTAGAAAGTCCGAAATCATCGGGAGAGTCTGTGTCCATTCTGAGAAATAAACATCCGCAGATGCAAACAAAGACATGCTCAGGGGATGCTAGGTAATACACAAGGCTGCATGCCTAGCTCTATACCCCCAAGTGTTCCTATTAAACAGTCTAATAAAATTTATAGTTTTCCTTTGGTTTTTAGCTCACCAGCCCCGAGGGCAAGTGAGCTTATGCCATGGCGCAGCGTTAGTCGTCCGTCCGTCGTCGTCCGTCAATTTTTCTTTAAACGCTACTAGTCCTGAACAGCTTAGTGGATTTTAACTAAATTTGGCCTGGAGCATCTCTAGGCTCCAAATAGGGGAAATTGAGGTAAAACCTTTAAAATCCTTCTTCTACCATAGGGATTAAAGGATTTTATCCTAATTTGGCCTGGAGCATCCTTGGGCCAAGGGGACTCAATTTTGTAGAAACTGTGGGTGTGGCCTCCCTGGGGGCAGAGGAGCGGGGCCCAATAGAGGTAATAGAGGTAAAACCTTTAAAATCCTTCTTCTGCCGTAGGGATAAAGGTATTTTATCCTAATTTAGTCTGGAGCATTCTTGGGCCAAGGGAACTCAATTTTGTATAAACGTTGGGTGTTGTCTCCCTCGGGTCAGAGGGGTGGGGCCCAATAGGGGAAATTGAGGTAAAACCTTTAAAATCCTTCTTTTATGGTAGGGATTAAGGTATTTTATCCTAATTTAGCCTGGAGCATTCTTGGGCCAAGGGGACTCAAATTTGTATAAATGGTGTGTGTGGCCCCCCTGGGGGCAAAGAAGCGGGCCCAATACGGGAAATAGAGGTAAAACCTTTAAAATCCTTCTTCTATGGTAGGGATTAAGGGATTTTATCCTAATTTAGTCTGGAGCATCCTTGGGCTGAGGGACTCAATTTGGTATAAAAGGTGGGTGTGCCCCTGGGGCAGAGGGGTGGGGCCCAATAGGGGAAATAGAGGTAAAACCTTTAAAATCCTTCTTCTACCGTAGGCATTAAGAGATTTTATCCTTACTTGGTCTGGAGCATCCTTGGGCAAAAGAGACTCAATTTTGTATAAACAGTGAGTGTGGCCCTCTCTGGGGGCAGAGGGACAGGGCTCAATAGGGGAAACATAGCAAATTCTTCAAAATCCTTCTTCTGTAGGAATGACATGATTTTATCCAAATTTGGTCTTGGGCACCCTTGGGTGAAGTGGAAGCAACTTGAATAAATGGTGGGTCTGACCTCCTTGGGCCTGAGGGGTGGGGCCCAATAGGGTTAATTTAGCAAATTCTTTAAAATTCTTTTTCTTCTGTAGAAATGGCAGGGTTTTGTCCATATTTGGTCTGAAGTATCCTTGGGTGAAGGGGACTTAATTTTGTATAAACGGTTGTTCTGAACCCCCTGGGGCCAGAGGGTTGGGGCCCAATAGGGGAAACATAGCAAATTCTTCAAAATCCTTCTTCTTCTGTAGGAATGACAGGATTTTTTCCAAATTTGGTATGAAGCACCCTTGCGAAAAGGGGAACCTTTTTTTTTTTATCATAAATGGTGGGTCTGACCCCTCGGGGGGCAGAGAGGCGAGGTCAATTAAGGATTTAGAGGAAAAGCTTAAATATCCATCTTCTTCAGTTGGGATGAAGGTATTTTGACAAAATTTAAACTAGCATCCTATGGGGAAGGGAAATAATATTTTTATAATTGGTGGGTCTGATCCCCTTGGGGGCAGAGGAGCCAATAGCAAATTCTTCAAAATCTTTCTTCTGTAGGAATGCCAGGATTTTGTCCAATTGCATATAAATATAACCCCTGACTAACCATGTAATACACTCCCAGCAACATCTGGCTATTTCAACTTCAATTTTACCAACATTTCCAGGTGAGCGATACAGGCCCTCTGGGCCTCTTGTTTCTCAATACCAAATTTACTAACTTTGTTCACTTAATATTTGTAATTGGGTCATTTTGATTTTTCTCTGTTGTTTACTAAGTTCCTATTTTCGTTTCATTTTGTTTGTGTTTGCTTACAAAATATACATAATATGCATGTACACCTGTAAATGTAGAAATGAGGTGACAAACTATGTCTGTAAATTTGATATTTATTTCTTTTTTTTGTATTAACACACTTATTTATTAAAAGTTCAAAATATACTTTTACCAGTTTTCTTCTGCCTGACTTGAAGTACTTTAAGATGAAACATAGAGAATTAGATATACAAGTAATATAGATATATATATAGTAACATTCCCATACATTTGTCTTATTTTATACATAGCTACTTGATTATGTACGTAGCAGGCTTAGCACAATATACAATTAGATATTCCCTCCACTAATTGTGACACCATTTGCATTGTGACACAGCTCATCATATAAGGCTCTTCTGTTTACCGTACTTATATTTCACATAATGTATTGACTTTTCTGTTATTATACACTAGGACATTGTCTTATGTAATAATTAGCTTGTACCATAGTGCCCACAGTACCCACAGCGTCGGCGGCCCACTTGGTTAAAGTTTTTGGGCAAGCTGTGTTTTGGTGTTTAACTCGACTTTTAATTAATTTTACATTGTTATATGGTTACAGCAATTGCTTGGAGGTTCCTTAGCAACAAATTGGACCATATTTGTTCATTATTGGTCCAACACATAAGTCTTTTGGAATTGGTTAAAGTTTTTGGGCAAGTTCTACAGGTAAAAAGTTTTAGGGCAAGCTCTAGTTCTTTTGAAACTACTGGGCAGATTTCAACCAAATTGGACAGGAAGCATCCTTATGGGGAAGGGGATTCAAGATTGTACAAATGAATTCCTTGATCCCCCAGGGGACAGGTGGGTGGGGCCAAAAGGGGTAAATTTGACAGTATGCCTTTAGACGATATCTCCTCCTAGACTATTTGGCAGATTTCAACCAAATTTAACAGGGAGCATCTTTAGGGGAAGGGGATTCAAGATTGTACAAATAAAGTCATTATCTGCCATTTCTGTTCATTAACTCTCGCAAATATTATCCGATTGTCTTCAAACTTAGTAACAGGGTTCAACCTATTAAGGGCTCAGCCAGCAGTTGCTGCTTAATAACTCTAGCAAATATTAGCCAAAATCCTTCAAACTTGATAACAATGTTTGTGTTCCTCTGTCTTTCTACTCATCTTGGGTACTCTTTGGTTTTGGTGTGATAATTGCTGTAGATATTGTTAAGATGTTTCAACCAAATTCCATATGCACATCCAACTCGTGCTAAGTTTGCCAACAGTTGTGATTTGTGCATATTTACGGATAATCAATGAGGTATAGGGCTTTTTTTTTTCTTTCTTCAAATTTCAAGCTATACATTAATTATGTCTCAACAGCACGATACTCACATGTTTAAACCTAACCTCAATAATGTTAACCTACAAAATGTCCTGCAAGCGGGGGATATAAATTCCACGAATTTGCTTGTTATTTCTATTTGTTGACAACCCTTAACTTAAGGTGTCACTGGTAAAGATGCAATATTAAAGGCATACATATATTAACACGATAGAGGTTCGTTATTACCGAGTTTCTAGCAAAACCAGGTACAAGGTTCCGGCATCATCCAGATAGTCACCGACATTCCTGTTGAGACCTTGAATTTACAATGTCACTCAATATTGCTGTTGAGACAGCGTTTTTTCTAGACTGCTGAGCGCGGTTCAACTTTCTTTCTGCTTGGTAGCCAGACTAGTTGATGCCTTTGAATGTTGACATTCACTTACAACAGTTTAATTTTCTGGACTATCCTAGACAGGCTTTTAGGAAACACTACTGTACCAATGTATATAAACTTTGAAGGAATATCTGATTTCAACCTATGAATATTGGTTTAGAAAGCATAGAGGACCTTACATAATTGGTATATTAATATAGATATAGAGGTATATAACAAGAACTTTAGTGTTGACAATGACGTTATTACAGTTGTCAAAATCAGAACTTTGCAGATATAGCTGAATGATACTTGTTAATTTCTGAATCATATCTTGAAAATCTACCTCAAATTTAAGAAAAATCCAGATGAAGTTAAATATTTCATCATCAAAATCAATGAAAAATATGAAAATAGATGTTAACATGTTTCTGTTAAGAGTAATTAGTCTTTAATTCTGAACAGGACTGCATACAAATAATTATAACACACATTGTATTTGTCTATAATCCTGTTCAAAATGATAGTACTAAAATTCCAAACTACAAATGTAGGAAGTTGAATGTGTAAATATCTGGTGTTAATTTTTTTTTTATAACTAAAATCTTGGTGAAGAAGTTGTTTTGATGTACAAAGGAAAACAGGAACTAATTAAACTCAAGTAATTTTTCGGAGAATAAAAAACAGTTTTTCTCATGTTTCATAGAAAAATGTATGTACAGTGTTATACAATGGACCAGCATGCACAGTCATATGTGGTACCTGGAGGATATGGTACTTATGCAAACTTATTAGGATTTAAATTTATCATTGTAAATTAATTCTAAAAGCATACTTTGAAGAAAAGGCCAATCAAGGATAAGAACAAAACCAAAGGTCAAGTGGTCATCCCGTACATAAAGGGTATATCTGAAACCATCCAGAGGATATATCGCGGTCATGGCATAGCAACAGCCATTAAGCTCCACAAGACGCTTTGTAATATCCTAGTACACCCTAAGGATAAAACACCTAAAGAAAATCTTGCAGAGTGCATATACAAAATCGGATGCCAAATTGACATCAATTTGTGGACAACTTGACACATTTTACACCTTTGTGTACATGTGCATACACTTCACTGGTCATTTATCTGATGAAGGTGACACAGTACATGCTGTACGTCACATAGAAACACTTATTGGTTGTGTAACAAGACACTTTTCATAATCCATACTTACCAAACAGAAGAAAATGTTTAGAAACCACCAAAATCATGTTTTCACTGGGAAAACTCTGGAGTATTGAACAGACAGCAATATGTCCAAGCTGCAGATAAAGGAAGCCATGGATAGGCCATAGTGGGCCAGTTCTGAATCAAGATGAGGGGTCTCATTGACTCTCGCACATCTATAACCAGGTGAATTAGCAGAATTACTTTGTCTGCTTGACTCATAATTTAGAGTATATGTATAACACCTATGTATTATACATAGCACATCACTGGTTGTGCTACATGTTCTACAATCCATACTTACCAACCCCAAACTGTTTCGAAATAAAGTGCAATGCATATTTTACCCCTGGGAATTCATATCAAAATAAAAGGTCATGCACAATCATCACTGTTGGGATATATAACAAACAGTTGACAAGTTGCTGTCTGGTTCAAAGTAAAGGATCAGCATGTGGAAAATGTTTAGTGTGAAAGTACAAAAACTTACATACTATATAACAGTTGGATATAGTTAAACCTTTTCATGATAAATATGATATTTTGCATAGTAACTATGCGGAAAACTGGTGTGTTCTCGCACCCTTAAGGCTTTTATTTAAATAAGAATGATTAACTCAAATATATATTAGACATAATCTGTTTCTTGATGAATTAAGGAAAATCATACCAATTATCAAGACAAATTAATAATAGAATATTTATAGATTTTTCCTTTCATTAAGGCTACACGATGGAGAAGAGAGCACAGGGAACCGAGATGGGGGCTTACCCGAACAGGTACACAAAGTTACAAGTAGCTCCCCTAATGACTCTGACCCAGGCCGACAGGTGACGTTAGACAGTGATAACAATACACAGGTAAGCTTTAAATTTGAACATGACACTTTCGCTGTGTTTACATTCCTGTAATTGCCAAACTATAAATATTAGTACAGTAAATATATATACAATCTAACTAAATAAATTGACTTTGAATTGATCACAAAACTATTTTATCCACAAACATTGGTTGTCAAATACGAAAGAAGGTACAATATTGCCATAAGTGTTTTATGTTATAAGCACTTGATGTAAAGTAAGAGTTAATGTTTCTTTAAGACATGCCATATACATGTATAACTTCTGGCTAAACAATTTATATCGGGATGGGGGTGGGGGTCATAATTACAGTGAAAATCCATCACATCAACATCATAAGTGGAGACTAGCTTGTATGGAGAAAAAAAAAAAACATTAAAAAAAAGTAACTGATGTCTTAAAGTATTCTTAAAGATTTACTAAAACATATTTTGAAGGCAGCAATGAGTTTATTAAAAGAAAACAGTACAGGAGCTGGATAATGTGTGAAATAAACAGATGCGCTGTATCTTATTTGAAATGGACTATTGATAGTAAACACTGTACAATGTTTTCTGTAATTATGTCCTCATTTGTATACCTTAATTTGAATAGTTCCCTTTTTTCTTATCTCTATCAATTTTATTTGAAAATAAGAAAAGGATTATAAAACATATCAAGTGATAAACAATTTGCCAAAATGGATTTCCTCTGGGCCTTTTTGTTTCATTGAAATTATTTTACCATTAATTATAAAATTCTGTGAAATGATAAACATAAATTGAGCATAAATTTTGTCTAAAAATTGGACATAATATGTTTTGAATATAGTTGTGCCATAGAAGTACTTGCATGCTTATTTCTCTTTTATTAATCATTGATGTGAATTACGACAATTTTCATGGATATCATTTTAGGACTTTTAGGTTGCATGTAACGATAACTATTAATTATATTACCTAGAACTAGAGAAATCATTTTCAAACCACATCACTGTAAAACGTCCATTCCAAGAGGATTCTACTAAAACTGTTCCTGGTGACATTTTGAAACTAGCTTTACGATTTCATAAATTTCAAGATGATAGGACTCTTTAAATTATTCACCCCGAACACACAGTTGAACTCCTCCAATTAATATTCCAAGGTTGGAATTATTGTTGTTATTATTATTTGATTCTTAACGGCCCATCAACACAAAATAGGCCATTAGAGCCGATAAATTACATCAAATGAACGAAAGGTAAAAGACAAACGTCAACTTGAAAAATTGAACAGACCAACAGTTTTTAGGTAGGTTAGAATCGTAGAGATACTGACTGTTTCGAAAATTGATTTGAGATCTGCTATATAATGATATGAATTTTCTCTTGTTGGCTGAAGGTCAATGCAATGTAGTCAAAGAGTTTTGCTATAAATGGTTCGTGACATGCTATGCATTGAGGCTGATCTTCACTTCTCAACAACCAATCCGTAAACGGACAATGACAGCTTCGTCTCGGCGGTTTTCTCTATAGCTGGGATATCATTTACCTATTTTCACTTTTACACAGTGTAATCTGTTTTCTACGCATTGATTCCAATTATTTTGCCACTTTGACCTACGAAATTTGTTATTGACGGTTTAAAATCAGTAAAATGAAGTTTGAAATGAACAGGTGGTAGCAATAAAGAAGCTTTCGCGGCGCGATCTGCCTTTTAATTACTCGGAATTCCCTTACGTCCCATCCCAGCCTAATGTAATATGACACTCTGAGGTAATAGTTTTATACTATAAAAAAGTGTTAACATTTTCCTAATTGAGATATTTTTCAAAGTTTTGATGCGAATTCTCTGTTAATGCTCTGTAGAACAGCTAAAGAATCAGAATAGATCATTGACTTCGATGCACCATTCTATATAATTTGTTCAAGGGCAAGATAGATAGCATGGGCTTCTGCAGATAATATTGATGCATCATTTGGTAACCGGCATCAAAAACGGCATCTGTTGCAACCATGGCTGCGGTGTCCTTTTGATCATCTTTCGAGCCATCAGTGTAAAACGATTGAACTTCCTTATATTTCAACTGCAATTTCGAAAAAGATGATCGAAAGGGCAAGATTCAGCGTCAGAGTTTACTGTTTTGTTTTAGCAGGCATGATGGAAGATGGATTATTGAAAATAAAATAAGTGGGATAGAGTCCACATCTTTCTCTTATAATGCAATAAAGGACTGGAATGCATTACCAGATGATATTAAGGCAACCAAGAACTTACACAGATTCAAATTTCTGGTCAAACAACATTTGACATCAAATTTTAGATCAGAACAAAAATGTGATTTTGTGAAAGGGTAATGGTGAGACTTCAGTGATATACTTTATTACTTCTTAATTCAAATATTATCATAAACACTGCTATTAAAGTATACTATATTGTTACTTTATATGCAGTCTGAGAGTTTGGTCGGTAGGGATTGGCCGACCACCAGCCCTCTTCTGCAAGTAGCTATTAGTTTAAATAAAACTTGTTAAAATTTGTCAATTGAATTATTCAAAATCAATATACATTTGACTTCCATGTTTTATGTTGTGTCAGTTTTTTATTAGTATAAGTTATATACCAGTACATATACTTAGATATAATCAGTTATGTAGATTTCGAATATACTATTTCTGGCTCTGTATTGGAAAGAGTTCATAAAGGTGGCCATAGTTGATATGACCAACACCGAATCAGAACTCTTTCCTAATACAGCTCAGTAGGAGTGTATGTTACTATATATTAGGTAAACAATCTTCAAACTATTATTATCCCCCCCTCCCCCCTGTGGCACATGTAACATTTTATATCCATTTTTTTTTTATAAAAGAAGTGTCTTGGAGTCTTATCAAATTATCAATATATACTATATAATTATGTAACTATTTTATGAATTGAATTGATTTATTTAGATCTAAGGGACCCCATTGGAATTAAGCCACAATGTGGCTTTATGGGTCATCCCAGGTAAAGGCCTAAATTAATCTAATCCAATCCAGTTTTAACACCTGACTGATTTCTAGTCTTATGGCATAGATAACTTATAAATAAGATCTCATTCTGTGATAATATATATATTTATGTCCAATCTGCAAAATGTGAAATACGTGTACTATTTGCCTTTTACATGAATAAATATAATTATTATCATTATTATGAAATTGCTGGGTACTGAGTTACACGTACTCGTACTTAAAGTCACGAAGCTCCGATAAAGATTTTTATAAGTAAAAAAAAAAAAAGACCAACAAAGGATAAATGCCTTATAACATCAGTATCATACTAGATCAAAAGTCCGTCGATGTTAACATACCACCGAACTGCAGATACGATAGTACCTCAATCATTCTCAGTTATTCTAAACCGTTTGCTTCCATGCTTTTCAACATTTCATGTAAACGCTTCAACAGTTGAAATTAGAAATGCTCTTAGAACGACTCTTCAATCAGCATCTACCTGTTCTGTTCTGCAACTATACACAACTATTGTCCAGCTGGAGACGTCGTAACAGCCTAAGTAGAATCCTCTTGTAAAGTTTGTAATACATGTGGAAGACGCGTGGTTTGAACATGGTGGACACCAATATATTTTCTTCGAGGTCTTCAGGTGTGAATTTATATTCGGTTGGACTATCGTAATGTCGTTGTCAATGACAATGACAATGGAATTGATCAGCATAACTGCATCGTATACCTGATACATTTCCTAGAGTCCACACGGCCATAACATCATTATAGCGCAGCAGAATAGTCCTATATAGTGTTATATGTTTTATGTATATCAAAACACATGGCTCATAATAAAGGCACATGTAGATACCGGATAAAGGTCATGTGCGTTGATTATTCAGTTACAATGTATATTGTTATATTGGATGTAGTGTTTCTGATCGCAGTTAATACTTTACACTGTACATTGTTTGCAGTACTTTAAATTTCGCCCTTGTCGCACGCTGTAATGAGGTCGTCGCATTTATTATATCTGCTATTATAAGTACATAGTATGAAAATTATTACAAATAAAATGTATAGTAGGAAATCATCACTGGGTAAATGTTTGATCTGGCGAAAATATTCTTGTTTGCAGCATTTGTCGGACTCGTCAAACTCAAAAGCTAATTGCATTGGGTTATCTAAGGCCACACCAAAATCTTGTTTGCTTTGTTTTAGAAATTAACAGAAGAAAACCAAACGGGGTCTGTGATTCACATTGGTAAGCATGCTTATTATATTTTCAATTCACATGAGAGTCTTTGTTCGTTGTGTGTCGTTTGTCATACATGTATGTCTTCCGTTAAACATTGTGCAATGTACCTTTGTATTTCTGTGCCAAATAGTGAACAACGATGATCACGCCGGGAATTCAACTATTTCGAGATTATTTATATGATAGGACGTGCCAAACAGATTATGTGGCCCTCTCCAAAATTGTACAGTTTGACAAGTTTTCAATGATACTTGAAATACATTGTACGATAAACAGATATGGAATGTTTTGACAAAGACTTCTCGCGGTTGATCGTTTTATTACAAAAGTGTGGATATTAAGATATTTGTTTCTAAAAGAAGAACACTTAACTTTGAGTTACATTTGCTTTGTATTTCTTTGAACTAGTGAGGAGATGGCAAGAAAATACTTGTATGATAGACAAACCTGTCTCTCAGTCTCTTTTATGACTGCATGATTCGAAATTGTGACTATATGTTCAAGGGGAGAATCAAAAATGTTTGTAGACTAGAGTTCACTCCAATCCCCAACTCTACTGTTAACAAATAATATACCCAAATCAACAGTTTTCAGTTTCAAAATACACGTTTAGGAGGCTCCACCCTTTTGCAATTAACCAGCAGAATCCAATTAAAGTTTCACATAATGGTTATGTCACTATGTAGAGATGATTTTATGACAATCTAAGCATTCCGATAAACTGGGGATTTTTTTGTAAAAAATACCGAAAAATTGATTTTTTGTCAAATTTATCAATTTCACATTTTTGAGTGTGTGGCATTGTTCAAAACTGTTACAACAATAAAATAATGAAAAGAAACATTGCTAATCAACACTACAAATATTGTATTTATCATAAAATATCTTAAACGCGTTACACAAAGTGTTTTTTATTGAATTTGTATGGATAAAAGTAGTTATATACAATCTAAAAGCAAACAGGACACATAGTTTAATACAAAAAGAGTGATTAATTGAACCAAATATACACAAAGCCTTAATAATTCATTTATTTTACATTTTACGATCATTTTGATCCTGATGAGAGTTGTCTACCTTGAAAAAACCCGGATCTTTTTGTAGAGGGATATAATTTAAGCAATGATAGTTATTTTCTTACTTTTCCAAAAACGACGGAAACAAATTAATTTATGATATTAAAACTGTCAATTTACTGTTCTTTTATTGATCAAAATTACTCCCAATCACTTTTACTTTGGACATCATTCCATAGCCCGCTTACGCCTGGAAAATTTACATGTCAGGTACATATGTAACCATAGGCTATCGCATGGTAGCATTTTATAGGGATCTTGATATTTTATAAAATACTATTTTCACAGAGCTATTGTTATAGCATTTGTGAAATGATTTACCTTACAGAGCGTAACTCGCTCGACAACAAAAATCGAAGCGACCCCGAGCTTGTGAACTAGTGTTAGCACGTGAAATGTACAGGTGTGTAAACAAAACACATCAGTCTGCATTCGAAGCGCCTCATAAACGACCTTCCTGAAATCGTCTGATCGTATGTCAATGTCTTCCCGTGAGTTAATTTATATCTTTGTATCATACGCTTTATTTCCAAGTAAGTCTCGATATCGGGTGTTGACATAATCGTCACGTACGTGTTCTATTGTTTACCCGGTGTTACTATAATTTACACTACGATAATGGAATACCCGATACGCGATACGGAAATGACGACACGAAAATACGACAAGAAAAGCATGTGTATTACGAAGGGTGGGAAGTCCTTAAACATGAAGTTTTAAGTGCAGGAATATTTACATACTGTATTTAGTGGCAGGTCGTAGCTGAAAGGAGCAGCAACAGTTATAGAATAACTCATAAACGTTTTAAAGATATATTTTGCTATAAACACAGGTACGGAGGCAGTTACTGAGAGTGACGAGGAGGATGTCGCACTAGAGCCATGGTTATCCTTTACAGACAATTCAAATGGCCTCATTGGATACAGCAGTGAATCCGACATAGACCAAATAAGTGAGGAGGAGGAGGATGACGTTGTTCCACCTTCTCGTATGGAGGATGTTGAAGTATGAATGAACCTTCATATCTTATATAATACTTTATTGATTTATTCTATTCCTGAAGTATGATGTAATCTTCCACTGAATTTCTATTTATTGATCTGAGGTTTTCTGGAATATTGAATGACTGAATTAAATTTTACGAAGACAGATTATAAAGGTTATGCTTAAGTGTGCTTTCATTGATAATTCACATAGTTGATGACGAATGCCGTAAACGTGGGACATAGGCATCACTTTCCTTTTTAGATGTTAAGTTTTGCGTTTAACCTTTTTCTACACCTTCATCATAGGGTCTTGGGCAGTACATCATATTCGAAGCACCGAATGTGGTGTGGATCCCAAGCTGTTCGGTACAGCAATAAGTTCATGCGTTTTGTTCTGCTTCTCAAATTATAAATTGTTGATGGTCAAAGAGTTGTCAGACTAAGTGTAAATGTTCCTCACATTGTGCTGATAGGGACTGTAATTATACATGAAATTGAACAGCAAAGATAGTAATTTAACTGCCGATTTGACATGCTTACCAGCTTCTGGAGGATAATGTTTTCAATCTTTATTTATTATTCATCTTTTGACAGTATTGACATTAAAAAACAACCTTTTAACTTTCTGATAAGTATATTTGGACTGCAGAAGCAAAAGCAGTGTCGTGTGTCAAATATATCACTTTTTCTCATACAGTTTTGGGATATTTTCACCGGTGGAGAGAACAACTGTTCAACTACAGAGCCATTAGCAGTTCCAGCCATTGGGGCGCACGCAAAACACCCAGACATGAAGCTATGTGTAGTTAAACTGTTTAGAAATGAGGTAGATCAATCGAGTCAAGGGCATTATGATGCTGCATCTAACTCTCCCGCTTAAAAATAAATAGTTTCGCTTTATTATAATTTTTCAAAATTAATCTTTTGGAGTCATTAAAATGAATCTAAAAAGATTAAAATTTGTGGCATTTTCAAAAACATCTAGAATTTTCATTTTTCGATATTAACATGGCCTTAATATGCACGGTACGTTCAAATATGGGGTAGTTCAAGACTTATATCGTTCTGGGATTATCACAGGAAACGTTTTTCTGATCTTGATTTGAAGATATTGTGTTGCAAATCATTCTCAACAATCGATAAATGGTTTGCAACACGTAGTTATAGAGAATAAAATATCATTTAACTTTGCAAAGTGTAGTATTTATTTATAGTAAGTATCTGAATCCTGTGACCATACTTCTAGTCGCGAAAATCGGCTAGTACATGTTGACAAGGTTAAACCGATACAATTGAGCATATTTTGGAAAATGTTTAATGTTAATTTCATTTGTGTTTTATCTTTATATACTACTCACATTTTGCTTATGATCACTTTTATTTTTCTGCAAATGTGTGACGCCCATTGCAATCAATTAGCTTCAAAACGTTTGCGCATGCCCCGAATGAGATCGCGTATCCGGTTTTGTGAGATAGCGTTCCACTAAGCTACCAAAGCTGTCCCAAGCTCATTGGCTTAACATTTCTGGCATAGAGAGCTGTCTGCAGCATGTCCCACACATGATCGATGGGATTTAGATCCGACGAGCGGGCTTGACAATCCATTCGTTGAATAGTCTCTTGCTGTATATACTGCTCAGGTACCATTGCTCTATGTGGCCTAGCATTATCGTCCATAAGGATGAAATCAGGGCTGAAAGCGCATCAAGGATTTCATCGAAGTAAATCCGGGCCGTAACGGTACCATTATAGAAGACATGGTGGTCAGTTTTCCCATGAAGGCTTAGGACTCCCCAACCAATCACTGAACCTCCGCAATATCGGTCATGTTCCACAACGTTACCTGCCTGGAACCTCTCCCCAGGTTGTCTCCATACTCTAACGCGCCTGTCGGTTAAGTCGAGACAGAATCGGGACTCGTCAGTATAAAGAACCGGTTCCCATTCCAGGTGCTGTGAGCTTCGGCCCAATCTAATCGGCCCCTAACATGGCGGGCAGTTAAGGGAACTCGTATTGCTGGTCTACGTGACCTTAAACCAGCATCATGAAGACGGTTCCTAACTGTCTAAGTGGCTACCCGGGTACCAGAAGCATTTAGGGGGTCATTTCGTAAAGCTGTGACAGTCTGAAACCTGTAACGCCGTGCATGTATAAGCAAAAATCGGACTTCGCGCTGCGTTGTAGCCATAGAATGACCTCCAGCATGACGTCTGGAAGGGTTTCCGTTAGTTTGGAAACGATTCAACATTCTTGCCACCACACTTTGAGACACCCCAAGGTCTGCTGCAACCTGACGTTGAGACATGCTAGCTTGCAGCATTCCGATGCCCCTATTCATTTTACTGTCATTTTACCGTTGTCTGGTTCGTCTCTGTGCCATATTAAAACAAACACACTCAAAGAATATTCATCAAATTGATTTCCTTAATAGTTTGAACAATGCCTTACTTAGCCTAGCTTAGCTTTCAAAAGGGGTGTACACGTAGATAAGCGTGCATGCGCTTTTATGGTTGACTTAACACGACCACACAGGACAATTTGGAAGGTTAAAATATTTGCCCAAAACATTACGAAAGGAAAATCTAATATCCTTTCTAATATTTTGATTTTTTTTTTTCAAAATATAGGTGATCCTTAGCAAAATGTGAGTAGTACATATGTTCTAGTGTGTTTGTTTACCATACTCAGTTACCAAGGTACAGTAATAAATATTATGTTTTGAAAATATGTTTTAAAAATCATTACTGACGAGCATTCATACTTGGCATAGCAGAGGTTATATAAGTTTATTTCACGTCCATGTGACAAATAGCAATGACAGATTCTTGATTTTGATATTTCAGTTAATCACAATCGGGTGAGAACAAGTTACAGAAACTTACACAGTAATGTCACCATAATGATTCCCTTTACATTTTGTTTCCACAGATTTTGGACCTAGAACGCGGACCTAGTGACATCAAGTATGATATCTTTTCCTGACGTTTTCTACACTCAATAATGTGGATGTGATGTATAATCGACCCATTACCAACATTCTGTAACGGAATCAGACATCTGAATGAAATGTGTTTTTGTGTTAGCTTGTGAATTCATTTTACAACACATATTGCTCATGAAACATTTTATGACTGTTACAATTAGTTTAGGCTGATGTTGGAGAGGAACTTACCAAATGTGTTGATTAATAATAATAATTATCACACCCACCTCTCAACTACTCCTGAATTATGCTGTTAGCCAGTAAAATTTATTTTGGAAGAAAATCTTATAATAGATCGTGCACCGTCTCATACACTTTGGGTGTTTTGTTTGAAGTTGATGTACAACAGTCATCAATCAGTTCATCCGGATTCTCATGAAGTACCACATAGATTTCAATGAAAATGCGTACAATTTATAAGTGTACGAGGTATTTGTAAACATTTAATTTTCTTTCTTTTGTTTGACATTTTTAAACAAACGCACAAGTGAGCTACTTAATGTTAAATGCAATCCATTTATCTCATCCTTCGTGCATGTACTTGTTACATTTTTTACTTAACTGAAGTTCTACTGAATTCACTGATAATTGATAGGAATATCCCCGACGTCCAAATGAAGAAGTTTTATTTTCCTTGCCGAACAGAAATCAAATATTGCCGCCAGAGCCGCCGAATCTTAAGTTTAAATGACACGGTTTACCTGAAAAATGGCAGACATGATCGTATTGTTTTGATAAAGTGTTTTTATTTTTCGGGCGGGCCAGAAATCAAATATTGGTGTCACAGCCGCCATTTTCAAAATCCTTTTTTTTTCAATTTTAAACTCATGTTCTAATGGGCTCCATGCCTGAAAATTGGAAGCGTTGATTTACTGATAATCCTTACAAAGTGTTATGTTCAGTTGATCAGAAATCCAGTGTGACTGGCAAGGTCACCATTTTGAAAGAGCAACCCTATTGGATTGCGTAGACTTAATTGAAAATGTGTGTACTTTTCAGTTTAAACATTCTAGTGCCACATGTGAAGGTTTCATTGCTTTTGAATTGAGTTTGTTGCTTGTAATTGTAAGGAAGATAGTACTAGGGGAATTCAGTGTTTTATTTAGCTATAACAATTTGATATCAATGTTACATTAAAGCCCCTAAATTATTTATCTGATATATTTCTGTGTTTACTGTTTACATTAGTTTGAAACTTAGCTACAGGCCAAACAATACAATATCAAGAGAAAAAATGTTGTTTAAAAAACCCACGACATTAACACAGAAATGACATTAAGCGAGGTTGCTATTATAAGAAATCCACTACCTTGGTAATAATGTGGAAATAATAATAGCCAAAGAACCAACACACACGGACAAAATCGGAACTCATGCTTGATTCAAAAGTAAAGTGTAGAGAAGAATGATTAATTAACTGATGGATTGTATAGAGTTTAACATCAATTGAGCAGCTAAGGCCATTGAAGGACGGGTGTAGAGAAGACGCCAAAAATGAACAAAATACTCATAAAAAACCGAAGGAGTTTTTTTTTTTTTAAGTATGGAGTAATTTCTGAGTAATCAAAATTGCATAAATCAACGGTTTGCTTTTTGTAAAGGAGTGGCGCCCAATAGAAAAATCGGGTGTAAATCTTGAAAAGATTACTGATCAATCACACCTTGTTATATTTAACATGATTTGCTATAAAACATGATTGTTTAAGCATTTCATCATCAAATATATCTAGCACACATCAATTGGTCAATTATTACAAGTTTACAATACAGGTGTTTTGTTTTGTTGTTCTGCCAGTTGTCTTGGAATCGATTTTTAGGTCCTATTTCGCCTCTATGATTGGAATTTCATGTTAGTTGGTTTCTACCAAACAAGACACCATACATGTCTGTCAAAATGTCATCGTCTTGTACGAGTACTTGGTGTATTGGACATGGTAGTTTGAAGGTTGATATTATTAATTGAAAAGAAAAATAACACAAGTAGTTCTTTAATGGACGGATGTTTAATGTACTAAATACAGATCTCCAATAAATAGTGTTGAGTATGACAAATGCACACTGAAAATAAGTTAACACATAGAGGGTTGTATAAATAAGTAGGAATAGAAGAAACAAAAATTCATGTATATCCTGATATAATCGTGAAAACTAAAAAGCACATCTTTGTTGATCACAAATAAAAATTAGAAAATAAAGTTTTACTTTCCAAGTACATTAATACAATATCCTCTTTATCATAGGACATTTTGAAGCATTGTCAGCATGTTTTTTTATGAATGTGGTACAGTATCAACATTTTATCGCTGGTTTGTGAGATGGATTAGGTTCAAAACATTTCTGTACGAGGAAACAGTATATTTCTCGATATGTAGAGCGGATACATATGCCTCAGCGTGTACGATGAAAACGTGTATATACATTTTTTGTGAATTTTTAGATAAATCGATTAATTGTTAAAATATGTTATCCTTAAGACGGACTCTTGCCGACTGTAAAATTAGTTACTAACTATTCTGGCACACTATTTTTATCTCACTGGTGGTACTTATAGAAATAAATAGCTTCTTTGCTGCTTGAAAAAAATAATCCGAATTATTTCATCTGTTCTAAAGTGAAATATTACAGAAAAAGTGCAGAAACTGATCGTTAAGAAAATGCAGCTAATTTCAAATTATTTAAAATGAAAGTGATATCGTACATGCTTAAATATGGTTTATGTGTTTATGTCCATTTTTAAGCTTAACATGGTGTAGAAGAATGGATATCGTGAATGATTTCCGATCAGTAATGACATCATGTCACGATAGATCTAGTAAAACGAATTGCTACATTTATATAGATATATATAGAGTGACACAATCGGCGATATTTGAAATTCAATGATATCATGTTTAGCAGTTTCAACTAATTGATCATGTTAATCGTTTGTACTTAAGTTAAAGTATATCATGTAAGGTAAAGGTATTTCATAAATATTAGGCACTGATAAGAATATTTGGACAAATGCGACAATTTTTAAACTTATGCCAAATTCCAACAACATAGATATAATTCTGAAACTTGTATTAAATTGACTATGATGTAATTTTCTAGCACCGACTTCATTTCAACAAGTAGTACTCCAACTTTCAATTTGAACTATGATATTTTTGTTGATCACATAATTATATTTTTATCTTTTGTAAATCATTGTCTGCAATAAAATGTCCGTTTATGAACATGGGATTCAATATTGTGCAGTTTTTACAACATACGATACATGTACATGCAATGTTGAGCTAACTTATTGATAAACATTAAGTGCATTATTTTATATTCATCAAACCAGTCTATATAACTTGAATGAAAGCATAACGATCAGAAGGTAGATATATAGAAAATACAGAACTATAGTATTTGCCTTTTTGAGTATCACAGATGTGTTTACATAAATATGTTCCGATTTAAACCGGAGGAGGCGACACTTCCCTTTGCTGCCGGAAGTGTCGATATCACAGATTGTTGAACGTTCCACCTCTGTGGATTATAAATGTTTCTGAAGACCTTGGTGGTGTTTTACTTCCTCATAATGTCAAGTAATGAAAACACAACGGTCGTTACGTCTGCGTGTTGGAAGTTTCTACCCTCAATCAGTTCTGTAAAAGAGAAAGTAGTTATGCATACATGTTGACGGATGTTATTTCAATTGTTTCTAAATTTTCTGTAATAATATTTGTACAACATTTCTCAGTATTATTAACCTTTTTTGATAGTTTTAAATATATTGGGGTTTTTTTCAAACTATAGGGAATAACGACAATTGATCCGGATGGAAACAGGATTGATTTCCTTTAAGAAGATGTTACAGCGTGATGCTGAAATTTCTAAGGCAGACGTCGGTTACTTTTGTATTGAAATTACAGGTTAAGATGTTTTGAGTAAAATCTATTTGGTTGTGAAGTTTAGGCCTAGTAGGTCTTTATTACTCACCTTCGAAGCAACGGTTAGCTTCGCGTACGTCACAGAACATATGGCAGACGATGTGTGACCTTGGGTCGAAGATAGTCGACTTCACGGACACCGGAGCTGCATCGATGAACGCAATGTCTGCATTGTACCTTGTCATCTCTTTGGACATGAAGTCGATGTATTTGCGAAGCTCGTGCTTGTCTGCGATGTTGTTAAACTCCATCATCATAAACGTTTTATACCCCTTTCCTGCAAAACATTAAACGTCATTAGTACAAATGGGGACACACCACTTACATATCGTTAGCAGGAGAAAAATATTCAAAGTGAGAAAAACTTATATTACTTTGTTCCTAAGGCGGATGATAAGCTATCAGTCAAATCTTCGTGCATGTATGGACTTTCGCTACTAACACACCATCAAATCTAATGAATGCTACGCGTACCTGACGATGGCTGGTACTTCAATGGCAGAACCGAGGTCTGGTTGCCATACGGAATGGGGAATGCAGAGTGTTTAAACTCTCGATCCATGTTGATCCAGTCCCTAGCTTTTTGCTCTCCTGGGAACCACTGGACAGCCAGCATTTTTTCCACAGCTCCACGTCTCTCCTGATTATAATATTGTCCATTCCATCGTGCTAGCACAGACTGTCTCTGCCATCCAGCTCCGCCCTCCTTAACGTCAATCTAAATAAAATATAACATCTTTTCTCATTAAGACGTGCCACAAGACAGGATGTCATTTTTAGTGACAATGATAAATACCACGTATTCTCTGTCCCTGCGATACTCGAATGATCTTATAGCCACTTTTTGAGAGGGTATCAACATACTTTACTCTATAACACACTTTGTTGTTATCTTAATCTCACAATAAACCATTGTAAGGCCTATTATGTAATGGATGACAAAGCAATGAAATGTCATTGTACGTACATATGTATATTTCGCGAATTTGAACGTGTATTTTTTCAAGATTAACGTATTTCATGGGCAGTTGGATTTTCGACTTTTATCCGAGAATGTACAAATATTCCCGTTTTCTTGAAGACTTAAACCCAGATCTTTTTAAGATCAGGGACATGGATGTTCAATTATCTACGGTTCCTTTTAGACTTAAATCTAAGACGGTATTATGACCTAGATGCACGATGATGTTCGGTTTCTTTTAGATATAAATCTGAGACTATCATATGACCTGGACTTACAATAAAGTCCAATTATTATTTTTTCCCCATTTTATTTATTGTCGATTCGAGACGCATTTGCTGGTAGTAACATGTGATGTAAATATTTACAGATACAATATTATCATCAGTGCAATATTTTTACCATGTCCGATGTTGCGATTCCGAGGAGTTTCCGTGCTGGTGTATCCCCAGTGAATCGTTCAAACTGTCGCTTGACGTCCTGGAACCCCTGGTCATCAGTCCTGAGGAGGAGGAACACACCTGCCGGATTTTGGTGGCCCTAACAAAGTAGTGGATCGACATTTATTGACTGGCAGGTAAACATTGGTTAAAGTCGCATGCTTACCTGCTATATACATGTATGTATATTATTATAGATGATCTCAGCATTGTATTGCAATTTAACACATTAGATTAATATTTGAAAAAACGATTTTAAGAATTGAAACAATGATATTATAAACATTAGCAAAAAGCTCTGCAGCAAAACCGTTCTTATTTTAACACTTTCACTAGAAAACAGTTGTTGTTATTCCCTTAAACGTATTATAAGAAAATGATTAAACCAAAAACATGTTATAAAAAGTTAATAGAGAAAACAAATCAATAAATCAATATCTATATACAGTAGCGAACTAATGGAAGACAGAATCTAAACATAAATTTCTGAACCTGTAAAAGAGGTATCTTGTTTAGATATGAATTGGTATTATCAATGTGTATTGAAATATAATGCCTAGTGTACCTCTGAAATAAAAGGTACTCATTTCACAACATCAATCTGTATATACTGCCAAATAATACTGCTGCAAAAACAGTGACCAAGACAGCTCGGTGGTTGTCATTGAGTTGGTATATGCGTAATAAATATATACATGTATATTTACTATCGTAATTGTGGTAAACCATTTAATACAAATATGAAAACCAGAGCCTTTGGTTGGGTTATCGTGCAAGTACTGGCTACTGTTTATTAATCGATATCTAGCTGTATGTGTACAGTCTACGTCCTCATAGTGCTACACAACTGGAATATGTTAGTAGTATTGAAACTTCGATGGTTTCACTAGTCCAATCACATAGTGATCTATAAAACAAACCCTTGTATATTACGAATGTTACGAATTGTTTAATCATCGTTTGGTTTATCATCCAGTTGATGATTTTAACATAGAAATGCAAAAAAATACGTTTTACATGCTAAATCAAAGGTAAGAAACCATGCATCGATCCCGTAAGTTTTAGTGCTTCCTTCAGCCTCCTATTTTATTCAAATACAAAATTAATTCTTGTATATCTTATTTCAGATTTTCTAAAATAAATGCAACTTCTTTATGTCTTGAAAAAAGCGGATCGCCCATAAAATTAGTTTTGCTGATATATATGTATGTCATGCATTGCAATGACCGATCGCATTATTTCTAAAATAGTAAGCATACTTCTACAGTATTACCTGTCTAAACCGGATGTCACCGGGACCAAATTATGTGTCCGGTTTACACAGGTGTCCGGTTTATACAGGGGCGGCATGCCATTTTTTGAAAATACAAAAATGTAGTGTTTTGCATACAACCTGTATACAAGTGTGTCAACATAAACAACAGAGAAATGAATCAAATTGCAATTTAATTATTTACAAAATATACAGTATATAATACATATGAAGAGCGACCCGACATTGTATAGCGCTAATATGTTTAGAATGTGTTTGCTTTAGATTGTAGGCGGCCGAGGGAAATGTCAGGACCGGAATGAACAGGATGGTTTTACATGGATTACCCTGCCAACTTTTGTGAAACACCGCTGGTTTTCGGAATAGACAGGGTCCGGTTTATACATGGTTTAACTACTTTGATTATATGGGGAATTTACCGGGACCACAAATCACAGCCGGTTAAGACTGATACGGATTAGACAGGGGCCGGTTTAGACAGGTCCCATAACTGATATAGATGACGTAACTTTTATTACTACTATCGGTTGTATTACTTTCATAAGTGTTAAGGTTGCATCACTCCCATAACTGCTTTTTAGGTTAACTTCCACAAAAAGTTAAAGTTGCTTTATTCCCAATAACTAATAGGTTGCTTTGTTACCATAACTACTATATGCTACAAACCTTCCATAACTGCTATAGGGTTACATAACTACTATATGCTACAAACCTTCCATAACTGCTATAGGGTTACATGACTGCTATTTGCTACAAACCTTCCATAACTGCTATAGGGTAACATAACTACTATATGCTACAAACCTTCCATAACTGCTATAGGGTTACATAACTGCTATAGGGTTACATAACTACTATATGCTACAAACCTTCCATGTCTGCTATAGGGTTACATAACTGCTATTTGCTACAAACCTTCCATAACTGCTATAGGGTAACATAACTACTATATGCTACAAACCTTCCATAACTTATATAGGGTTACATAACTACTGTATGCTACAAATCTTCCATAACTGCTATAGGGTTACATAACTGCTATAGGGTAACATAACTAACATATGCTACAAACCTTCCATAACTGCTATAGGGTAACATAACTGTTATATGCTACAAACCTTCCATAACTGCTATAGAGGGCATCAACACAGTCTCATGTTTTTTAATGGTTTCAGTGTTGACTTAGCAGGATATGTGTTTAGATGTTATGCGTGAAACAATAATGCTGACGCGTCAGTCCAACCGCTAATAACTGTCATAGCGCAAACTGCTATTTCATTATATCATGCTATAACACAACATTCAGCAATATTCTTCCAACATCTTATGCAACCTTTTGCATGCTACAATAATCTTGTAAACCTAGTATTGAAGTAAATTGTTTTCCGTTTGTTTTATTCCTTTAAAACGTAATGACCGTTTATAATATTGTTAATTATCTAGGAGGGATGTATCATGTTGTTTTTGGTCGTTGGTAAATGCTCTTGTTCTTTATTGGTGCGATGAAACTTTAAAAATCCGAAGTAGGTTTTTCTAAACAAATAGAGCAGTAAAAGTAGCAAAACAAAAGTTTATACCGCCTTTGTATCGTTCAAAATGTTTTCATAAAATACAAAATATAGAGAAAAAAAACACTCAATAAAAAGTAACTCATGCTACCCACACCAAAGCCTTTATAATTAAGTCAATGGAATAATGCGATGTTGCTCTTTTTCACGTAATTTCGTTTCATGATGTTTTTAAACATTAAATACGAAAGTAAAGCGGCTTAATATTGTTATATTCAAATCAATTTAACAATTAAAACAACATCTCGTTTACACATGGTGGATGAAAAGCCAAAAGGAAAAAAAAACGAAAAAAAACGGGATTCCAGCCATACAGCGTTTCTGACTAGTAAAGTATGAAAACAATCAGCCTAAATGTATGCCCAAAATACCATTACTGCAATCATGTTAAGGTGGTACATGATTTTCCGGGTAATAACACACTTAGCATATCATTGAAAGGTTTAGTACAAACACAACATATACACATTAAGGAAGTCTGTTCGAAGTTTGAGAGGGAAGGAGTTGAAGGGTGTTCAGATGTAGCAGTTAGAACTAGCGTGATATAGAATGACGCAAGCACGTAAGAAATCTGTGACGTCAGTTCCAATCGAAACAAACCTGCTTAGGATCCGCATAGAAACGTTCGGGATAGTCTGTCTGAAAATTAAATGCAGCTCCCCTATGTTAAAAGGTGTCTGTCATTCACCAGTAACGTATATTCTTGAAATACCTACACGTGTCTGAAATAGCTCCCTATATGGTATAAAAACAACAAGAGAATACCCAAATGTCATCGAAAATCGCCAAAACTAGGGAAAATTTGAACAAGTGAATAATTTGTATGGAGTCCAGTAAAAATGTATAAGAAGAAAAGACCAGGTTGTTCGGTAGGGTAAGCGTCTTCTGTTTTATCGATTCATGTAAATCTAAACCCAATCGAAGAAATGACATTTCCTTATATCGAGAGCTCGGCTAATGGCAACAAAACCACACGGCACACTAATGAGCATACTCAAAATGATCGACCTTTATATTACACAATAACATATCCTATCTACCGTGTCGTAAGTACCTGTCGTAGCCCTGTCGTATGTCATGTATATCCTGAAATACTTACACATTACTGTCAGCCTACTGTACATGCTTTGTGTACGCACTAGATACAAATGCATCTGATAAAATCTGAGCTGGTAATGTTACCTCAAGACTAGTATAATTTGTAGAAGTTTCCCTAAGAAAATATGGGTTTAAGTCAATATCTGGATATACATGTACACACTGAAATAATGTTGTATATCATTATTACATACTATTCCTCAACAAAAGTATGGTAAGCATTCGGAAACTTAAAACTCAGTACAAATTGTTAAATAGTTTAACATATCCATTTTAAATAATAATTACTGTTTAAGTTTCAACCAACCTTGTGAACTTGTTCAAACCGATGATAGTCGTGCATTGGAAGCTTTTGTTTCACCTGTAATAGTATAGCAAGTGATTGTTCTGGTGAAAAGAGAGGGAACTAGTGTACACGTTGTCGCATCAACGGTCTAGATCCTAAACATAGCAAGCAAGGGTATTATTTAGGACAAACACATAGCACAGAAAGGGTTAGACGGTGGTAACAACTAAAATTGAGTAAGTAATGTGCATCAAGGTGATATGTTAGTGTGCCCCAGGAGAGAAACACATCTCAAGCAATCAATCTTATTGCAGTTTTCTACCAATATTGCAACAGTATAAATGAGGGTGGATATCAGCAACTTAAGATATCATTGTCTTATATCGTGCAAATTAAGTACAGTTTTATTAGTACAGCATAACAGGGAAGAAGTGGTGGAAATTGTTGCTAAAGTCGTAAAGACATTGCAAGAGATGGAGATTTCGGGTAAACAGGATCAAGGATATATCGCAACAATTAGAAAACAACGAAATAGTCGTTTTAATATCGGTGATATTTATATAGGGTTTTAGTACGTATTCAGCTTAAAGTCGGTGTGAAATAGAAACCGAGGAGACATCAAAGCAAAACGAAAGACACCAACAGGAACTGAGATGACACCATAAAAAACGAAAGACAACAACAGGAACCGAGAAATTACCAAATCAAAACGAAAGACAACAAGAGGAACCGAGCAGACACCAAATCAAAACGAAAGATAACAACAGGAACCGAGAAGACACCAAATCAAAACGAAAGACAACAGGACCGAGCAGACACCAAATCAAAACGAAAGATACCAACAGGAACCGAGAAGACACCAAATCAAAACGAAATATAACAACAGGACCCGAGAAGACGCCAAATCAAAACGAAAGACAACAGGACCGAGAAGACACCAAATAAAAACGAAAGATAACAACAGGAACCGAGAGAACACCAAATCAAAACGAAAGACAACAGGAAACGAGAAATAACCAAATCAAAACGAAAGATAACAGCAGGAACCGAGAAAGACACCAAATCAAAACGAAAAACAACAACAGGAACCGAGAAGACACCAAAACAAAACGAAAGACAACAGGAACCGAGAAAGAAACCAAATCAAAACGAAAGACAACAACAGGAACCGAGAAATTACCAAATCAAAACGAAAGACAACAAGAGGAACCGAGCCGCCCCCAAATCAAAACGAAAGATAACAACAGGATCCGAGAAGGCACCAAATCAAAACGAAAGAAAACAACAGGAACCGAAAAGACACCAAATCAAAACGAAAGATAACCGAGAAATTACCAAATCAAAACGAAAGACAACAAGAGGAACCGAGCAGACACCAAATCAAGACGAAAGATAACAACAGGAACCGAGAAGACACCAAATAAAAACGAAAGATAACAACAGGAACCGAGAAGACACCAAATAAAAACGAAAGATAACAACAGGAACCGAGAGGACACCAAATCAAAATGAAAGACAACAGGAGCCGAGAAGACACCAAATCAAAACGAAAGATAATAACAGGAACCGAGAAAGACACCAATTGAAAACGAAAGACAACAGGAGCCGAGAAAGACACCAAATCAAAACGAAAGACAACAACAGGATCCGAGAAGACACCAAATCAACAAGAAAGACAACAGGAACCGAGAAAGACACCAAATCAAAACGAAAGATAACCGAGAAATTACCAAATCAAAACGAAAGACAACAAGAGGAACCGAGCCGCCCCCAAATCAAAACGAAAGATAACAACAGGAACCGAGAAAGACACAAAATCAAAACGAAAGATAACAACAGGAACCAAGAAGACACCAAAACAAAACGAAAGACAACAGGAACCGAGAAAGAAACCAAATCAAAACGAAAGACAACAACAGGAACCAAGAAGACACCAAATAAAAACGAAAGACAACAGGAACCGAGAAATAACCAAACCAAAACGAAAGATAACAACAGGAACCGAGAAGACACCAAAACAAAACGAAAGATAACAACAGGAACCGAGAGGATCCCAAATCAAAACGAAAGACAACAGGAACCGAGAGGACACCAAATAAAAACGAAAGACAACAGGAACCGAGAAATAACCAAATCAAAACGAAAGAAAACAACAGGAACCGAGAAAGACACCAAATCAAAACGAAAGATAACAACAGGAACCAAGAAGACACCAAATCAAAACGAAAGACAACAGGAACCGAGAGGACACCAAATCAAAACGAAAGACAACAGGAACCGAGAAAGACACCAAATCAAAACGAAAGACAACAACAGGAACCAAGAAGACACCAAATCAAAACGAAAGATAACAACAGGAACCGAGAATGACACCAAATCAAAACGAAAGATAACAACAGGAACCGAGAAGACACCAAATCAAAACGAAAGACAACAGGAACCGAGAAGACACCAAATCAAAACGAAAACCAATATCAGGAATCGAGGAGAGACAAATACAAAAGGAGACAATATCAAGAACCGAGGAGACATCAAAACAAAATGAAAGACATTTATACATTTCTTCAGGTTGAAGCTGGCATAGACTACAGGTTTCTATAGCACAAGTAGTGAAATATTTTTATCCGACGTTTCGATGTTTCGTTTCATCGTGACATCACATTTGAAGATTTCATTGGTTGTACTATGTAAAACTGGTTACAAACTATAAAAATGGTAAAGAAACGTAAAAACAGAAAACAAAAAGGAAATGGGGAGACACTAAAACAAAAATAAAGGCAACAACAGAAAGTTACAGGAACTGGAGAGACCAAAACAATGCGAAAGATCATGAACAACCACTGAAAGTTGCAGGCGAATCCTTTTGATTCGGAATGAATATCAAATTTTCTTCAGGTGTTGTTCAAATGAGTTATAATTATGACATAGTTACATGTGATACTTATACCCTACCTCCCAATCAATTCCCTTCCACCATATCTGTTCAAACCTCAAGACTGATACTTCTGAATTTCTTTATAATAATTACTTACAACATGTATATGGCGTGTCATATAATTAAAAATCGTCATGAACAATCTGCTTTTGAGAACATATCTTCATAAACCGTGTGAACATGCAATAAAGGTAAATGAACCTTTATGTCGTTTTACTTGTATGTTGACAAAACATGATATATTACACAAACTGAGCTGATTGATAATAGAGAAATATATGTAGTTCCTCTAGGAGCAGAGTTCTAAATGCACACGCATACATTTATACTGGCAAAGTATTATTTACTCTGTATTTAAAGATGTTGGTCAATTTAATCTACTACGAGCATATGTACATACTGTATACTATACTGTATACTACCGCGTATACAGATAAATAAGATGTATACAATGCGACTACAACATTATGGTTATAAAGGAACACAAATGAATGATAAAATGTGTCCCATCGCATGCAAGATTAATGTCAGGATTCAGTCTATATGTACGAGGTAATGGGTATCTTTAAATCTTAGCTTACGCCTTATTGTTATCATAACCACTATTGTGATTTTACCATTATTATTACTGTTGCTGCTATTAACAAATTACGAGCAATCAATTAAACGGCAGTGTTAATCAGTTAGATTTAACCTTTTGTCAATTAGATTAAGCTCATAACGAACGTAGCCCTTTGACTTCATGCTCCATAATTAGGGACGCTAACCCGCGAGGTATTGTGCTATTATTACAAAATTTACCAGTGGTTAACTTTATAAACACTGATTAGTGATTTTTTCTGAAGTATCATAAACAAACCTAGGGTATAAAGCTGTTGTCCTTCTTCTACGATTATGCATAACATTTAGCAAACTTATCTCCTCAAACAAATTTTTACACTGTTTGTTAAACAACTATGTCAATCACTTGGTGTTGCTATACAGTAACTGTCACACACATTTCTACATTTCACATTGCATGATTGATGTTTTCGGATAGTAATACTTCTTTTATTTAAAATAAACATAACAAAATCAAAATTCAGTAAAATAGTATATATGCGACACACTACAAAGTAAATGATTTGCAGTTGTAAACAAATTGTTCATTTATATTATAGATGCGTGGTTTATTTCTACATCTATGTAAAATTGCTGTAAACATACATTTAACTGAAAGGTAAATTTACTACAGGTAATGAGTTTAATAGATACATAAACGACCATTCCCCGATCTTTGCCTATTCAAAAAAGGTTCTTACTACGTGACTAAAATCTAAAGGAAATGTTTTGTATTAACTTGCAGACATCACACTGTGTTCCTAGTTGTAATGGCCGGACCATAGTCAAACTAGTGTTACTTCCATGTACGTCACAAACAAGCCGACACATTATGAACGATTTTAAGCGCATTTCAAGATAACATCAAAACTCTTAACACAATTCCATAAACTAATTTGTGTAATGCAATATCAATTTCATGGTTTGCACAATGTATCAAAACACGTTGATACTGATAATTTTGAGGAAAAATAAATCATATCCTCAATCAAAAGTGCGTTATATAAAGATTTAATCAAAGATTGTTCATTTTCCGACCCGTCATTGATAGACTCAAACTTCTCTGGCCAAACCATGATCCAGTCATTTCATCTCAATAGGGGTAGGCGACCAAGACAAACTACTACAAGCTTAATTTGCTTGAGAAGAACTCATTTTCATGCATTTTCGTAATTTTTCATAGGTTATAGGAGGATCAAGATACTAAAGACAACCATAATTTGAAATTGAGCAGGTTTCCCTTTTCATGCGCTGGGATCATGTTAAACAGTTATTTGAATAGCGATTATATGCTTATTGTATATTACCTTTAAGGATTACATTTGCAATCGGTTAATTCATGTATCACGTGCTTGATTAATTGTTTTAGCTAAATATGTCTACAGATACATAGTTTATGGTATCAAGATATTTCATGCGGACAAAACAAAGAAGCGACAATTAACGATACGTGTGCCTATTTACGAAAACGAACCATCCGCTCTTCTGGGCGTAGCATTACATCCGGATAGAATGGCCCTTCTGGCTCCATTTTGTCCTAGAAACGTCACAATGACAAAGGTCAACAGGGGACCTACATATGTGCTTATTTTATTGAGAGAAAAACGTGGAGTTTCGAAAAACGTTTACCTTAATCTTGTCACAGACTTTTTTTTATTTTTGTCGCAGTAATATTGAATTCCCTTGATTACTACACATATATGAGTATATGTACAATGCCGTTTTCAAAACGCAGCTCCAATACTTAATCGAATATAAACAAGAAATAATTCACACAAACACATATATTGCCAATCATGTTTTTGTGTGATTGCTAAAACAACGAGCCTCGTGTATTCCAATGATCTAAATCCATTAAGTTTAATACACCAATAATTATGGTGATTTATCGACCAATATCCTTGTTTTTATCAACCGACAACGTGACGCTATCAGCACTTGCCATAACCATTAGATCATAGTTCGATTAACAAGTGAGCTGATTTGATGTACCTAATGGACAGTAGCATGGTCGTGTAAGTAGCCCGTATTAAGTTCACCTTAAAGACAAATAGAGTATCTGGAATGAGAGAGACTGCGCATGCACTCATTTGGAAGTGTAATCCGGACATTGAGTGGTTTCAGACTTAGTATCAATATCACGTATTACTTAGGTATGCACATGCCTTGACGCAATGTCAATATGTCAATGAATAAATAACTTATTCAAATACAGCAAAAGCTCATCTCCAAAACTCTGGTACCTGTGATATTTTTGTGATATTATACACATAAATAAAACACAGTTGATGCAACTGGAGACATTAATGGAACATTTTCAGGCTTTTCCTTTTTCCATCAATATCACCACTTAACTCAATCGGGGCGCGATAAAATTCGGAATTACTATCATCGTACTAAACAATGTTGTAATATAAAGACAACTCTACCCACTAAGTATGTATAAAGACACCTCTACCCATTTAGTTTGTAAAAAGACCCGTTTAGTAAGTATAAAGACGCCTCTACCATTTTAGTACACATAAAGACACATTTACCCATTAAGTATGTGAAAAGACATATCTACCCATTAAGTATGTGAAAAGACATATCTACCCATTAAGTATGCATAAAGAAACTTTCAATTAATAGGTTTGTAGATAGTTTTCGTAAACGTTATATACGATAATGTCAGTAAAAGTTTGAATTGTTTTAACGTCGCTAGGATTGTCTGTATAGGGATTGATAGTTCATTAAAACTGGTAAGTATTAGTAAATATCTACTTTATACACCAACCAGACAACATTATTTATGTTCACATCTAAGAATTCCTCCACCACCGTTGTACTACATCATTAGTCAAACTAGTAATTAACACATTGACAAACCTCTCTCGGATGCATTATCTGAAATTCAAAGAACCCTATGAAAGTCTTGATACATTCAATATGATTGTTTGAAAAACGTAGACTATTGTTTTTTATTACAGAAAAATCTAAAATATAACATCTTAGACATTCTTGATGCACTTTCTATGGGCAGCTACATGGCTTTGTTTTTCCGTTTATGTATAAAAGTCAGTAATCGGTTAGACATGCGTAGTGCAGATAATGAGCAATGACTTTGGGCACGTGTCCTCTTATAAAACATACCAATAGGTAGTAATGGCTTATTACAACAACTTGTTTATACATACATTATTAAAACGTCCAGCTCTCATCGATGGCTGGGAATTAAAAGTTATTCTTAAAGGATTGCGAGCTTCATATTTGGCTTTATATGTATTAAACAAATAGGAATGCAGTCGTATCTACATGATATATGAAAATGTTTAAGCAATAAATAGATTGACACACATCTTCAAATATACAACATATTATAGTAAATTAAAGTAAACTTATGTAGTAATGAAAACAACAACAAATAGCAATGTTGTGGCTGTGCGACAATGTTACGCAGGCAACATATGCTGTTGTAAGTAAAAGCAACTGTCGTTGAAACATTTAAGAATGCCAAGAAGTCTGAAACAAAATTTTATCACAAAAACCAAATGGGTTAAATTGTTTATCTACAGAAATATTTAACAGTTAATTACTCTTTATAAGTGAATCTGATTTTGTATCTACCCTGGAACAAACAACAGGAAAAACTCGAAATATAAACGAAACCGAACTTCGTACTCAAAATTGCTGAAACTAAGACAAAGTATCAACAAAGGGACGATATACACAGTGTACGTTAAAAAGCTGTACCAGGCGATTAAGGCCATATGTTCCGAAAGCGAAGGCGTCTTCTATTTTAATGACAACACGTGGCATGTAAATAAAGGTTGAATCTAAGTCATTTCACGTTCTTTATGAAGAGCTGATGCAGCAACAATGGAAAGTTATATTAACTTAACCCGAAATGTAAAGTGAAAATCGGCTTTAAGTGCTAGATTACAACATACACGTCATGGTATGACGTCCTATCGCGGCAGGAAGTGAACTTTTCATTGGATGTTGCTATTGACAGGAAACAGAAAAGTTTTGGTTCTGTTACTTGGTGCGGTAGGATCTGACGCATTACTAACACGTTAAGTGCATATAACGAACTATTCGTCTGCGTAAATGTGTAATAGACAATAGTAAGAAAAGATATTGCCATAGTAATGTAACATATTAAATTAAATATTTTTTTGTTTCGATATTTCGACATCTTTCTCCCGACATTAGTTTTGTTTCGTGTACTTGTCAAATATGAAGTTTTATAAAACAAGTCAATACCCTATAGTTTACAGCAGCAATAGAATCCGCATCAGAATAGATTGTCACACTTTAAATGGAAAAATCTGTGATTTGAGATTGGATAAAGTAGTCTGTTTGTATCAAAACATTACGTATTGTCAAATGTTTTCAATTTATTACGAAAGATGAATATATTACAATCAAGATAAGACATTTGATCATTGTGCGTTCATAAACCACAAACTTGGAAAATCACAAATGACAATAAATTAAGGACAGGTACAACATATTGCTGCTTTACACATGTGTCTAAGCATTAGAACATTGACAACATCTAACCAGGAAGGTTGCTACTTAAAGGTAACAGTCTCCCCACTGTGCCACATGTACCTATCTACGGTGATTAAATACAAACATCCAGTTAAAACTGTAATAAAACATGTATATGTAAGCGTTAGGAATCGCACGCTTTTTAGTTTTATATAAACATTGTGCCAAAACGAACCTTGTTTCCCCGTGGATAGTTTGTCTGAAATTGTGAGGGTTCATTGAATAAACCATACACATGTCACCTTCAGAAATGTCGACTTAATTGAGAAAAAATATCACGTGTTTTCATTTTCCGATATATATAAAAATAATAACATTTCAGAAAAGTTACACAGGAAAAGTTTTATCGTAAGTGATTATATTATTATTATTATTTATGCATGATGACAGTTAAGGAGATGGTACGGCGATCCTTAAATATATATTTAGTTATATCATAATGTAAAAGTGTTTGCTGTTTACACACCTCCACGTGGTTGTTTTCAAATGGAAGTTCGTGGTTTTCTATTTGTCGGGATAAAACACCAGAATCCTACAACGAATTACAAGTTAGAATTCAAGCAAATGATCGCCCATCAGTCTCTACTGGTAAACCGTGGCTAGACTAAACCTACATGTTTACAAACAATCAAATATGACATCCTCTATTGTAATATGACAGTTTGTGTTGTTTATATATCCGTTCTGTTTAAGGTGCATTAAAATGACAGAAGATAAGTAAAGCTTTCTTGTATACTTTAGTGATACTTAATTAATAATTGTTATGCTTTTTCTTTTCTTTTACAAAAAAATAATAGTGGTAGTTACACTTCGTATTTTATTATTTCAACCACTTTAGTTTTATTCAAAACAAACCTTGCTGCTTCGAGGATTGTTTGTCTGAAAAAATGAAACGTTTATATTGCTGACGAAGGTATTACGTTAATAAGGTCATGGCTTATAAATAACGAGATTGCTACCTGTATCGACGTGAGCATATGTGTTCAAACTTTTGCTAACAATTTACATTGTACATACAATGAAGTATTTACCAGTGATTGGAATACTCTAGTTTCACCCTGTCATAAGCCTTATATTCTTCTTATAACAGAAATTAAAGACGGCGCAAATGTTATGGTCATTACATGAGATAATTGACAATGTCTTGCAAGTATTTCGTTTGTTCAGACCCGTATGTTAAGCATTAAATCTGTTTAATATTTATACATTTTTTTTTATAATATGTAAATTGCTTATGTAAGGAACAAGTGCTTCATCAACAAATTTCTATAAACTGACCTCGATGAGGTTGTTTTCAAAGCGGTGCTCGTGGTGTTCTGTCTGGCGCGATAACACACCAGGATCCTGAAACGGATTTACACGTGATACACATAATGTACAATTTCAAGAGACACAACCTAGTTTAGAGGCGATGTGTATCAGTCATAAGAAAACACACAAGTTCTGATTATCTTTCTGAACAAAATTTTCGATGTTCCGGTTTGTGTAAACTTAGCTTGATTTGTGTACTCTATAAATGCATACAACTTTTCGTCTTTAAGTATCCCTACGAAGTTTCACGTAAAGATTTTATGTTGTAAATTTAAAGCATTTGAATTCTTTAAAGTGATTAAATTTTCAAACAGGTTTCACCTGAAATGAATCACAACGGATTTGAAAGAAACTAAGTTGACGTTTCCGTTGATTATTTGTATTACTTTGATTATGAAATCCCCATATTAAATATTGTAATATAGAGCCTTTGAACACACTGAACCAGTGTTATAACATATTGTAGTCTCCTTATAAAATCATATTCAAATTTAAAACGTTTGTTACATTCTATATTGTTTAATTAATTAAAACTAGTATTTTTACTGTAGGATGAAGTATGGTTATACGTTTTACTTACGTTGTCATTAAGAATTTCACACTAAACTTTGTTAATATTGTTTTAAAAATATCAAAATGTTTGTTTTTATTTTAAGAAAAAATGTGCATGTAGGGTTTAATCAATCGCAAAGAAACACCGGGATCCTGAAATTATTATTTATTTTAACATTGATCTATAATTATTGTTTTTAACACTAACTAACTGAAGTTATAACGCAGCAGATTTAACTAGTATACAGTTCTTATTAATTTTATATTCAGACGTATCCAACTACTTACAGTATATTTTCGCATTTTTTATTAATTGCTTGTGCATACGATTATAGAACGATAGATCTATAACGTTGCTGAGACAACCTAAGGGAAATTTCAAATGTCTTATTCGGCAACATAGAGATGGCCGCAAATTTAAAACCGCCCCAACAGCAAGTCATTGTTAAGAGTTTATCATTACAGATTCATTTCACCTTTCGACTGCTGGAAAATCACACCATAAAACGCTTATTTATTTTTGTCGTTAAAACATATGTAATTCCAAGAAATTAAGTGTACAGCAGCATAATAAAATATTGTTCAAACATCTTATCAGCGAAGTTGAAAGTCAACATATTGAGGTTTCAGGAGTGTGAGATAAAATGTAGTATATCCACATGTATCTATATAAATAGGTGGAATATATCAGGATACAAAACGTTATACACAAATCAAAGCAATATCAAACTGCATCGTCAGACGAACTTTCTGTTCGTATAAAATGTTAAGCGATTGTAGTAGCTGAAGAAGTTCCATGTCAGAGACATAGACATATGAATGACGCTTGTCCCTTAACATCTGATAATAATAAAGAATGAATGAATTGTATTATGATGATATCGATGATAATCTACTAGAAGAGAAAGAGACAAATAATGGTTCAAAGCAATGTATTATAAATAAAATGTATATGCGACAGGATGAGATTGTTACAAGAAGAGAGGTCTACATCCCGTCACTCTATGTGACGTGTATACACTACTAGTGAATTGGCTAACAAACCTGACTACGCCGTGGACTTGTGGTCTGAAAAGTGAAAGGTCTTCATATATTGTCTTTTCTTCATTGAATACCTCATCAAACAGCGGTGATATCAAATCAAAATTTTAAAACAAGTCTTTGTTCAATAGCGTAAAAATATATCAATTCATGAATCAAACGTTATCTATTTGCTAAATTAGATTTATGTAAATTTATACTGTTATCTGGCATCTGTTAATCCATCGGAAATATCTAATATTTAGTGTCAACTAAATTTGATAACGTTTTTACAATATATATACATATATTGTGTAAACACACCTTGATCAGGTTATCCTCATATCGATGTTGATGGTGTCCTATGGAGCGGGATAGGACCCCTGGTCCCTAAAATACAACACAGTGTCACCATGAAAGTTAACTCTCAAGACTATTACAATACAACCAATAGGTTGTGTAATAACAGATGAAGGATCTGTCTCGTTTACATGTGTGGCCACCTCATGCGTAATCACGGTGAGTGAACAGTCGTATCGTTTAGCAAACAATATATTTATGTATCTTTGTATACGTTTTTACATTTTTTATAAAACACTGGTACGAACACAAATCAAAAACATTACCATATGAATGCAAACTTTTATTGTGAAAAAATATTGTCCCAACGTAATGAATCACCCTATATTTTTTAGCAGTGGAAACTAAAACGCATAAAATAGACATCTTATATACAGTGAAACCTTTGTTTACAGATATCAAAAAGGAACAAATCATGTTGTCCAATCAGGCAGTGTGCAGATGAAATCAGATTCAAAGATATCGAAACAAGTATGCAGAGACCAGATAATCCTGTCAAACTATTTCAGGACGCCTAGTCAAACGTGTTGGTAAAATAAGGTTTGATATATATATAAAGAAATAATGACGAAATGAATGAAAGCAGGCACTAGAGGTAATCATTCAGAAGCTCTGCTGATATAGCAAAAAGCATATCAGACACACAGTATATATATATAACTTCACCCAGATTATATCTCCCTCCCACCCTTCCCCGACAATGCCCATAATATATTGATTTTAGTTTAACGCAAGCGACGAGTCAATCGATTCAAACTATTTCTAGTTTATAATATATGTTGTTTGATATCAATACCGATATATTTTTACAACACACAATATCAAAAGCGCAATAAACAGTGTCTGTCAATAGTACTGAAGATATGAGTGTAATTAACCTCCGTCCCAATCACTTCTCTTTTAACCCTGTCATAATATGCTGGATGGAAGAATACAATCAGCACTACTGGTCAATTCATCTACTACTGCATGGCATTATTCTAGGTGAAACATATTTTTCAGTAACAACACAGTATCGACAGTCGTGATATGTTTGCGAGTGATTACAAACACAGCACTCATTACTAAGTTATATACAAAGATGGAAGGAGACACAAATCAAGTGTGTCTTTAGGCTTGTGGCAATAACCATCCAAATCATATTTGGATTTTAGCATCTTTTATTTAAACCCAGAGATGTTTTACAAACAAATAAAAAAAGCAAATATATCCAAATTATATCAAAAACATGAGATGCACAGGTTCGTCTTAAGTTCTTTGCATGAAACACGCATTTCTCTACATATCCTGGATTTCTATCAAAACATATCTTCAAATACTTATTATGTAGCTATTACACATTGTTATCAGATACGCATTAAGGTTGTGTAACTATTTTTTTTTTTTTTTCTAATATAATATTGATTAATATCCCTTGCAAAATAGAAAAGCTCTTCGCAAAAATAATTTGTCAAAATAAATGTACAGGTCAGCTGCATTATTTGCTTCCCCAAATGGAATACAACAGGGCAAGCTACTATCTAGCTATAATGCATTCATGTCGTTTTGTAAATTAACTGGCAAACGATGTGAAGTACACTGAGGCAGTTACAAGCCTAAATCTCTAGTTGTGAACGTGTTAGTATGGTCACTGTTCCTTGTCCAAGTCAAACACAACAGTTATTTCAAAAGCACAAACAAACATGAAAATAAAAGATGAAATCTTGTTGTAATTTTTTTTTGGAATAAACAGTGTAATGGGAACATTAAATAATGTTGCGAAACATACTTCAATTTAACAAATTCGAACATGAATGAAATATTAATAACGTTCGCGGAAGTGTATTTCTTTTATTAATCTCTTGAATACTAATAGGGGAGTTCCTTAGATACGTATTTCATTAAACCTTTAAAATATTCGACGTATCTTTTAGATTTGCGTCTTAATTCGTCCTGACATGAATATCATTAAATGCAATATAGATATAGATCCTAAACAACCTTACACAACATTTCGTTTCATTGTAAATTCTATTAAAATAACAGAGGGTTGAATACTGAAGAACATATTATGTCGAATGCACTGTTATTACTTGACGGACTGTTTTCTTTTATGTTAACTTGCTGTAAGGTATACTTAAAACGGACAGTTTAATTATATTTCACAAATTTCGCATGTCAAGGCTTCGTGTCTCTAATGAAACTAACAGCCAAACAAAATAAAAAATATAATAATTATAAGCAAATGACTGTAATCTGTAAGCACATACATTCTTTTGTGAAAATAAAGAATTAAAAAATCCTGAAAAGCTCTGGGTATACACATACTAATCTAACTACTATAATGTATGTGCTATAACGCACCTTGGACGGGGGACGTTCATATAAACGTTTATGGTGAGCTACTGGTCCCGAGATCACCTGGTGTTCCTGAAGTATGAGTAACAATGTATAAATCAGAGTTTATTCTAGTCTACACAGATCATTTAAACTTTTCATTTCAAACCACAAACAACCTATAAAGCGATGGAAATAAGGAACATTGAAATAAGCAATCCTATTGGTAAAAAATACGGTTTATCTAATGTTAATAGCTTTTGTTGACAAAGAGCAGAATAATACAGTTAATAAAAAAAATTGTTGACATCTCTCTTTTATATATTAGCTTGGAGCAGCACATGTAATTCTTTATCAATAGGTAAGCTGATTCCCTGACAACAAAGTGTGACAGCGGAATGTTACAATCTGACTCAACAAGTAACTTATGTCAATTATACGTGCACTTGGTATAAGGATAACCCAACAAGTACAATATTTTTTAAATCCCAAACTCTTAGGTTTACTTGTTATCTTCGTAATATCAGCTTTACGTTTGACATCCTATAACACACGAGCAAACAGCCAAAGGTGTAGGTAAAACAACCTCATATAATAGTAAAATTACTGACAAATCGGCTGATATATCGATTAAAGAGTAAATTGATAGAAACATCACCAATTAAACTAATGCTACATTGACATACACGCTTTATATTACACGTTTGAAATTTAGCGATATTGTAAATGTGCAATACGATCAGCTTTGTTCGTTACTTTATGACCAAAGTTACCATGATTGGATCACCGTTTCGCAAAACGCAATACACACAACCTGAAGACATAATCTCGCCAAAGTGAAACCTGCACCACAATTTCATACTGATAATAACTAACCTGGGACCGAAACGTTTTCTGAAATATGAACCAGAAGTAGCAGTGTGATTGTAAGTAAAATCATTTACATATCTAGCTAATATATATGTATAATCACAAGAACACATGTCACCAAATCGTCGAAAAAAGCTTCATACACAGTCGTTAAAATCAGGACGAACGACCAACAGTGTTATTTCTTTACCGCCTAAAGTTGTTTATGTAGTTTACATAAAGACAACATGGCTTAACCTAATATTAAAAATAAAACACCCACTATAAACACCAACGCATATGATAGTACAACTATGCATACTTCTTTTGTTTGCATGATATTCCAACTAGGGTTCGATTGACAAACTAAACATTGTGCATTAAGAACACGTTGGTTCGTTCATTGTTGGAACACGCATAGGTACAAACATCTTTGATTGATGTTGGGCAAGGTTTTTACTTTATTTATTTTTTGATATTATGACATCAATGCATGTGTGCGAAACCAACCTTTGAACCACTGCTTGCCCCCGGCGACAACGGAGAGAATGGGTCGAGCTGTTCAATCAGAATCAAAGGGTTACACTCCTCTTAATCTGTTTTATAATATATTCTCATATGAAAAAGCAAATTATTGTCTTATTAACGTGGATATCGTTGATTCAATACCATTATGAAATTACTTTATTTGAAGATCGACCATAGTCATTGATATTATGAATCTTTTCCCACATCAACTGAGCACGAAAATACCAGCGAAAAAGAAAAGGAAGATTTACAGTATTTGGTATAAGTCATTAAAATGTTTATAGTATCACCATTTGTCAACTGTTTTACATTATTACATTAAATAACAAAAAAGAGTATTAAGTGAAGCTTCAGGAACCATGCAGCACCACACAATATCAATGTATTACACGTCAAATACACACGACATATTCGCGATAATGGTAACTACACTGATTATCAATGTAACCATTTTCTGTCGTATTTCAAAATATATCGGTAACTAATCAATTTAAGAAAAAAACATATTACCACAAGGTGTTTTGTGAAAGAGATGGATAATATGGAAGGGACACTTTAAGGAGAACTTGATGTGTTTCAGAGGGAAAATTCTAGTCAATCGGAGGGAAAGCATGCCACAACATCATGTAAAATGTTTCGTCTGTTTCTTTTATCAAATATTGATAGATTTTATACAAATAAAATTGAGATAGCGCATGTTTGTTACACTATATCCTTTTTGTAAATAGTACAAGCATGCACCAACACGTGGAAACTTGATCACAACATGACTACATAATACAAAGACTCCAGACATCTAAGTCAGGAGTGTGCTTGTAACGCACCTGGGAAGATCGTTCAAACAACTGCTGGTGGTGAGCAACATGTCTTGGGTTGCCGTGTTGTTGCTAAAGTACAAGTTCACAGGTCAACACAGTAGTCATCGTGTCTTATTGTATATCAAAATAGTGTCGCATATTTAACGGTGTAAACATCGACCAATAATCAACTGTCACTACCTGATCAATATCTTAGAATCAGTGTTATTGAAGATTATAAAAACATTCAATTTTGAGAACATTTGTGAAACCTTTGTAATTATTTAAAGCCATAACATATAAACACTTTCCATAATGAACATTCCCTACCTTATCAATTTGTAAGAATAAGCCACATATAGGCTTTGATGGGTATTTAATATATTAATTTAAAGAATGTTCTTGATACCTTTTCGAAAAACTAAATTAATAACTTCATTAAGTTTCCATTTTAAAAAACATGCGTCATTTCTCTTAATTACACGTATAAATGTACCCTAATTATAATTAATGATATTTGATCATGTTGCTTTAGAAATACAGTAAACACACCTGTATGTTCTGCATATGAAATGGTAAGTATAGCTGCCCGGGTCTTTCTGCCTGTAATGGTATGCCACATGTAAATACCTGTCCAAACCAATCTCGTTTAACGGCTTTTTAGCAAATACTCAATTAATATCCGTCAGAACTTCACAAACAATACGGCATAATACTTCATTTGTTCCGGAAAAAATTAAAACACACTTATTGAAATTAAATTTTAAAATATTTCTATTTTCAACAACTGAGTAAACCTTCACAAAACGTCATTTTCTTAAAGATTTTCAATTCAAAAGTAAAGTGGTTTTTTTAAGGTTTCCAGTAATAGTTACGAGTTGAGTAAAATTAGAAAAGACTTGTGAAAATTTGTTCACTATTCAAGTAATTGTCAAAAAGCCGTTTCATGAGAGATTTGAATGGATAGTAGTGCATGTACTGTATGTAGTTTAAAAAAAGTGCAATAGGCTTTTGCTTTAGTTAAACAGTGAATTGGATGGAAATCAACGTCTAAAAAATAACAAATCTATACAAGTTTGTTAATTACCATATACTATAACATATGTCGTTACATCTGACGATAACTGGATACGCCGACTTAATATCTTTCAACTTGATACAATTGCTCCAAATATACCTCGTATTATATTTCTATATGTCAAGCGATTTGTATTTTTTGTTGTTGTTAGAAAAATCATATGTATTTTTCCATTGATTTACATCGTTACTTTCTTACAATTCTAAAACCTATTTACTGTATATCATAATGTGACTATAAAATACAGGTGCGGAAAGCCTACCCTGTCGGGGTTATTCGGCTGATATACACCGTTTTCTACATGGTAGTTATCTTCCTCCTGTTAATATAAGTGATGCTTGGTTATTTACACGAGTTAATAGCGTCAACTTCATAACTGCTTCGTATCTAATAAATATAATACCAGTGATGTCTTTGTAGTTGAACGTCATTATCCAACCAGGTACGGGGTATCAATAGATCAAAAGCCGTGAATGCTTTTTTGATGTTACAAAGCCTCCTCAGGGTGACGTATTGAAAATAGATAAATTTTGTTCTGCTGAGAATAAGTAAATGAAAAACAGTATAAAAAAACTCGTAAAAATAAATAAATATAGGTTGTGTTTGTACAAACCTTGTCCTGCCACTGTTTGAAGTTGACATGGTCAAGGATGAGAAGTTGACAGAGTCAGTGGTGGAAAGTTGACAGGGTCAGGGGAGAGAATTTGACAGAGTCAGGGATGAATAGATGACAGGGTCAGGGGTGATGGGAAATTATCTTATATCTCGTTGCTTATACATTTGCTGTATTGTTCATGATGTGATTCAGATGCCGATAAATGATGTAAGATAACTTCATAAACAAAATATTCTAGTGAGAACACCTTGACTCACTCTCAGTGCGTCACCTCTGTTAATACTCGAGAAACACTTATTTAACTGTGAATCTCTTATAATATAATACAATTAAATAAATTGTCAATTACTTAATTTATTATTTATTACTTTAACCTTGAAAGCCCTTAGTTGCTGTTAACCCTTTAACCTGCTCAATATACCGTAAATCACTCAATTGAATGGAACCCAATTTTACTTAAAGATCCTGGCACAACCAGTGTTAAGATCATCTGAACCCGGTACGACTAGTGATACAATATTTTAACCCTGGTACGACTAGTGATAATTTATGCGAATCAATGCATGACTAGTGAGAATATTTGTGGGCCCCGGAACGACTAGTTATAATACAATGTATATGCGAATCCAGGTCATGACTAGTGCGAGTGTCATGTGTGTATTTGCATGACCAGTGATGGTATAATTTTAATGTCTGTACGACTGATGTGATGTCTGGTCGACTAGTGATAATATTTATCTCCGTTAAACTTATAAAATTATAATATAAATCTCGGTATAGGTAGAGATAATACTAAGTGGTTCACGGTTCGATAGTGGTAAAATCATGTACAATATAGATAGCATTTGAGATGTACTAATACTATTATGTATTACATTACTTCGAGGTTTAAACTAAATACATACACTCACTATCATTATATCATAATACAACACTGGGTTTGATTCAGATAGTGTTGGGCTCTCGTTATATTTCAAAATAAAAACACAGTTATATAAAACGGTTGCTATTCGAGAAATCTATAAATGATAATGATAAAACAATAAAAGAAGATAACGATGTGCGTAGACAGGACAAAACTATAGAAGGCATGTATCTGTATGAATACAGTGACACTGCATAAACAATAATAGACACATATGTATGGATACAGCGATGCGACACACACCTGTATGGATACAGTGATGTGACACACACCTGTATGTATACAGTGATCCATTACCAACATGCATGTATACAGTGCTGTGACACACACAAGTATGGATACAGTGCTGTGACACACACATGTATGTATACAGTGATCCATTACCAACATGTGTGGATATTGTGATGCGACACACACCTATATAGATACAGTAATGCAACAAACACCTGTATGGATAAAGTGCTGTGACACACACCTGTATGGATACAGTGATGTGACACACACCTGTATGGATATAGTGCTGTGACACACACATGTATGGATACAGTGATGCGACAAACACCTGTATGGATACAGTGATGCGACACACAGCTATATGGATACAGTGATGCATAACACATCTGTATGGATACAATGATGCGACACACACCTGTATGGATACAGTGATGCGACAAACACCTGTATGGATACAGTGATGCAATACACACCTGTATGGATACAGTGATGCACTACACACCTGTATGGATACAGTGATGCACCACACACCTGTATGGATACAGTGATGCGACACACACCTGTATGGATACAGAGATGCATAACACACCCGTATGGATACAGTGATATTACACGCACCTGAATGGAGACAGTGATGCGACACACACCTGTATGGATACAGTGATGCGACACACAGCTGTATGGATACAGTGATGCGTAACACACCTGTATGGATACAGTGATGAGACACACACATGTATGGATACAGTGATGCGACTCACACTCATATGGATACAGTGATGCGAGACACACCTGTATGGATACAGTGATGAGACACACACATGTATGGATACAGTGATGCGACACGCACTCATATGGATACAGTGATGCGACACACAGCTGTATGGATACAGTGATGCACCACACGCCTGTATGGATACAGTGATGCGACACACCCCTGTATGGATACAGTGATGCGACACGCACTCATATGGATACAGTGATGCGAGACACACCTGTATGGATACAGTGATGCACCACACACCTGTATGGATACAGTGATAATACACGCACCTGAATGGAGATAGTGATGTGACACACACCTGTATGGATACAGTGATGCGACACACACATGTATGGATACAGTGATGCGACACACACTCATATGGATACAGTGATGCGACACACACCTGTATGGATACAGTGATGTGACACACACCTGTATGGATACAGTGATGCGACACACACCTGTATGGATACAGTGATGCGACACACACTCATATGGATACAGTGATGCGACACACAACTGTATGGATACAGTGATGTGACACACACCTGTATGCATACAGTGATACGACACACACCTGTATGGATACAGTGATGTGACACACACCTGTATGGATACAGTGATGCGACACACACCTCTATGGATACAGTGATGCGACACACACTCATATGGATACAGTGATTCGACACACAACTGTATGGATACAGTGATGTGACACACACCTGTATGGATACAGTGATACGACACACACTTATATGAATACAGTGATGTGACACACACATGTATGACTACATTGATTTGACACAACCTGTATGGTACAGTGATGTTACACGCACCTGTTTTTGAGTCAGTGATACGACAAGCACCTGTATAAATACAATGCGTCACACACCTCGCCCAAATAATCCTGAGAGCGAGTTCTCTCTCTCATCCTACAAAAGCAGGGATCTCCTATCGATCGGCATTGTTAATGTACTGCTGATTTGTTCAAAAGAATTGCATTACAATTGGAATGAATGGATTAAGTCAGCTGTAAGTTAAGAGTTGTTATATGCAACATGTCTAGCTCAAAACAAACACTCTCTAACACTGTGATGACTTGCGTACTGTCGTAAAGGTATAAATAATACGTAACCACTTTTTGACCTCATAAGAGGCTGATACCTAAGAAATCGTTTCTGATTATTTCCCTAGCAGGATCTTATTTTATGATAAATATTGGTATAGTATGCAAGGTACTTATATCAGGATCACATACACCCAATGTACTGCTGATCTTTTGTGACTTCAATTACCCATATCACACGTTCTACAAATCTATTGCTCAGATTTCAATACATTAACTATAAATATGTTTAGTTCAATGTTCCACAAAAGATCGTGTTCTTGACATTTTTCGCCACAGTATAAAGTAGGCCGTCAAGTTTAATGTAAGAGAATAGTGGGTGAACTCGTCATATATTGGACATAACTAAAAAGCCATCAATCGAGCCCAGCGTAATAGATCACTCCATTGAAAAGCCAAAGGTAAACCCAAAGAAAACGTCACTGTTGTGTATTTGGTGACAAACGCAGTCTTTTCAAAATAACCCTACTCCATCTATTCGGATCCTCTTACACTGTATACCATACAAATATCTCAATGGGGTAAACAGTGGCTTCTCGTGGCGCTTGATTCACTTTATCCATGTAAGTGTAAATACATTAGCAATGTGGTCGTTAACACCTCAATACAAAATATTTGGTAATGAGAGGACACTTTTATGGATATGAATTTGCCAACATTTACAAAGTAAGTTGGCCTAATTCTAGTAGAATAGAGTAGCCTGTTGTTGACATAGTGTCGTAATCATACCTAATGACATGGCAACTGTTTGTTTACCCCAGTAATAGACTAACCAGTATACACTCAAACTTAAAACATACAGAAAAAGTTCACAGTTATTCAACATATTCACGTGCAAGGCAAAGCTTTGTTAAGCTTTGTATTTAAGATTTGACATATCACACCATTGATATGGGAAAATAATATTAAAATACGTTATAATATCAAAGCGGCAGATTTATGTATCCTGTATAGGTTATTTGATTTTATAACATTTAGTTTTAAGTAAAATAGTTTATAGTAATTATCTGACTACCAATTAAATCATCCAGATGTGACATTTTCTGTTTTCCTCTACTTTTAAACAGCACCACATAAGGTAGAAAATACATGCCCCCTTGTTTCATTGGTAGAAGTGATAGAACAAGTATTCTTACCCCTCCTCCTAAGTTGTGATGAGAATATGGTTTGAAATTGCCATCATGAAGTTCAATTCTATCCAATTCCTTCTTCATCTGTCCCTTTGCCATATCATTTAAGGCATGGTCAGGAGGCAGCGGCGAGGGGCCCGGGGGTGCGAGACGTCTATTCCGTTCTGATCGGTCAGTTAAAGGTCCATCATCTAACCTTGGAGCCCGGCGATCCACGTCGTATCCCGACCGATCCGTTAGAGGCAAATCCCTGTAGAAACTAGGGGGATCCTTTTCGTCGAAATATGGTCGACTGCCATATTTTTTGTCGTACCTTCGAGCAAGTTCCTGTGGTATTATTGTAACATTATTAGGACTCGGTCTTAATGTATTTACTTCAGATTTGAGAGCATAATTTTCTGTCCTTAAATTCTCTAGTTCCTGTTGCAGATCATGCAACTTGGCTGAATGCGTGTCGTTCCTAGCATGTATCTGCTGCAATCGGTTGTCATGAAAACCGATGTTTTGCTCCATTAGTTCAAGACGTGAACCAGGATTTTGCCAGCTATTCGCCATGTTTGTAACGCCCGTGTAAGTATAAGTGTTAGATCGGGTTTTGCACACCAAACGGTATCTAACCCGCTGTTTCCTACCTTCACTGGGGAACTAACCATGTGACCAAACAGAAAGCCAACAAGATATTTGTCCCTACTTTATCAGTTTAACAAACACAAAAAAGAGCATTCAACCGCCAGTGTGTATGTAAAACCAGTACACCTCATTCATCGTAAACCGTTATTATAAAACCAACAATATCAGGTGGTATTCACATCAGAAAAGGCGTGAATGCTGTTTAAACAGGCAATAAAGGGAAATGATGGTAGAAGAGACCCAATCGCTCATTCACTATAAGGTCTATACAAATGCACACTGATCTAAAGGTAAGCTGTAGAGAGACCTATCTGACTCCTCAGTACTGTCTTATAATCCCTCTATAAACTATCATCTCAAACGATTAATCTCAGGACAAATCGTGAATTATATTGCAGCATGCATTCTTAAGGTTACACGAATCTGAGAGTTAACTGATACTGAAATACAGGAGGACTATATTTTACAGTCTACCTACGATATCAGAATGACTGCTCTATTGAAGTAATACGTGTTCAAAACCACACCCGTCCTTTGTATAAAAACCAATAAACATGTATCAGCCATAGACACGCTATTTTGTAAGCTCAATGTGACGTTACCAGTATCTATGTTTACACTTGTGGATGTAAGGCCGTTCTCAGTGCATCCGTTCAAAATCAATGGCGTGTGTATTAAGCTATATTACACCTGCTCGTCTATTTACGTTGCATGAATTACGTGTATCGTAATATTAGTACGCAGGTAAAAGTATAACTGACAACCTTAACACGGGGAGGTATATTACTGGGACGGAACGGTATGTCCTATCTGTTAAACTTAACCATGTATTTATTCGAGGAAAAGAAGACGAGTCGTGCAGGTGATACGTACGTGACGGAATCTGTTATTATTTTTAAAAATAAAAACTGACAAAATTCATGTTAGTACTACGTGGTTCTTCATCAAATAAAATTGAAAAAAAAAATACTTAATGTTAATAGTAGACATAGAAAACTAACATGAATTTTGGTGTTAGCAGTTACTAAATGATGCCTACTATTTGAAAGGGGGAGGGACGGATCGCTAGAAGGGGGAGTAGCGGATCGCTAGAAGGGGGAGTGGCGGATCGCTAGAAGGGGGAGTGGCGGATTGCTAGAAGGGGGAGTAGCGGATCGCTAGAAGGGGGAGTAGCGGATCGCTAGAAGGGGGAGCGACGGATCGCTAGATGGGGGGGGGGGAGTGGCGGATCGCTAGTGTGACATACAAAACGCAGTATGTGGTGACGAAGCTAGGAGGGTGAACTGTTTGTGTGGTGTTAGTATAAAAAATCACAATTGATCACGCAATAACACGTCTATTGAAACACAGTATATACAAGGAGAATATCATCAGCTCACGAACACACATATTATCACACCAACTGTTACATATCTTTAAGAATGTATATAGAAGAATTGTTGTATCAGTTCACACAAACGTTCACAATAACAAACATCAATTACACAAAGAAAGGAAACATTTTAAATAATTAAGCTTCTAAGATGTATGAAATTATGCAATATCAGCTTCTTTTGCTAAACATATATTTATAAAATGTTATCTATGAAAGGTAAATTCATTGCATAAATACGACCGTTTAAGAAAATAAATTAACCGTGAAAGTTGACTTTCACCATAAAAAAATAATTTTGCTTACATGCTTGGTCTAGGATCAATATAGTTAACGTATCACTGACTCAGTATTATGCTTGTCATTTATATTTAAACCATCATCAATTCGAGTTATGCCTCAGAAAGAATTAGTTAAACAACAAAAGCAAAAACTCACCGGATCGCCCTGTCATATGACAAAAAGTAAAAATGATAAATTACTACGGACACGTAGGTTAAATTAAACATCTGAATGGGATATGGAGAATGAGTCATTTTAGTATACATAACTAATTTCATGCATCAACCTCATTTTAAAAGCCCTACTTTTCCAGTTCTTTTACAATGCAATCAAGTGTGATTATTGACAGGAAACTCAACATGATTTCCAGCTTTTTTTTGTACCATTAACTTTGTGCTTTATATTGTTTGCGCAGAGAAAAAAAAACCTTTTCAAACTAGAAACTTATTTGTTGTAATATACATGCTGATAACGTTTGTATCTAAACACAATAAAACGAGAACCATCATGGCTTAATATTAATGTTTAATGCTTAAGTGTATCACCAATCTAGAAATCAAACTTACCTGTGCCCTGATGTCGTTGATCATGAGCTGTTTTTGTGCAAACTGTGGAAACAAAATTCATTTATAAATCATTGGTGGAGATTATCTGGCTCTTTCATGATACGCTATGCACATACATCAATAACGATATGTCGGGTACACAGTCCTAGACTACACATCAATAAAGACATGTCGGCTACACATTCCTAGACTACACGTCAGTAAGTATATGTCGGTAATACAGTCATAGACTACACGTCAGTAAGTATATGTCGGTAACACATTCCTAGACTACACGCCAGTAATTATATGTCGGTAACACAGTCCTAGACTACACGTCAATAAGTATATGTCGGTAACACAGTCCTAGCTAGACTACACGTCAGTAAGTATATGTAGGTAACACATTCCTAGACTACACGGCAGTAAGTATATGTCGGTAACACCGTCCTAGACTACACGTCAACTACACGTCAGTAAGTATATGTCTGTAACACATTCCTAGACTACACGGCAGTAAGTATATGTCGGTAACACAGGCCTAGACTACACATCAGTAAGTATATGTCGGTAACACAGGCCTAGACTACACGTCAGTAAGTATAAGTCGGTAACACATTCCTAGACTACAGGTCAGTAAGTATATGTCGGTAACACATGCCTAGACAACACGGCAATAAGTATATGTCGGTAACACATTCGTAGACTACACGCCAGTAATTATATGCCGGTAACACAGTCCTAGACTACAAGTCAGTTAGGATATGTACTCGTCAGTTAGGATATGTCGGTAGCACAGTCCTAGACTACACGTCCGTAAGTATATGTCGGTAACACAGTCATAGACTACACGTCAGTTAGGATATGTCGGTAACACAGTCCTAGCTAGACTACACGTCAGTAAGTATATTTCGGTAACACAGTCCTAGACTACGCGTCAGTAAGTATATGTCGGTAATACCGTCATAGACTACACGTCAGTAAGTATATGGCGGTAACACATTCCTAGACTACACGACAGTAAGTATATGTCGGTAACACCTTCCTAGACTACACGCCAGTAATTATATGCCGGTAACACAGTCCTAGACTACACGACAGTAAGTATATGTCGGTAACACAATCATAGACTACTCGTCAGTTAGGATATGTCGGTAGCGCAGTCCTAGACTACACGTCAGTAAGTATATGTCGGTAACACAGGCCTAGACTACACGTCAGTAAGTATATGTCGGTGACACAGTCCTAGATTACACGTCAGTAAGTATATGTCGGTAACACAATCCTAGACTACTCGTCAGTTAGGATATGTCGGTAGCACAGTCCTAGACTACACGTCAGTTAGGAAATGACGGCTACATATTCCTAGACTACACGTCAGTAAGTATATGTCGGTAACACAGTCATAGACTACACGTCAGTTAGGATATGTCGGTAACACAGTCCTAGACTACACGTCAGCAAGTATATGTCGGTAACACAGACCTAGACTACACGTCAGTAAGGATATGTCGGTAACACAGACCTAGACTACACGTCAGTAAGTATATGTCGGTAACACAGACCTCGACTACACGTCAGTAAGGATATGACGGCTACATATTCCTAGACTACACGTCAGTAAGTATATGTCGATAACACAGTCCTAGACTACACGTCAGTTAGGATATGTCGGAAACACAGTCCTAGACTACACGTCAGTAAGTATATGTCGGTAACAAAGTCCTAGACTACACGTCAGTAAGTATATGTCGGTAACACAGTCCTACACTACTCGTCAGTAAGTATATGTCGGTAACACAGTCCTAGACTACACGTCAGTAAGTATATGTCGGTAACACAGTCCTAGACTACAAGTCAGTTAGGATATGTCGGCTACACATTCCTAGACTACACGTCAGTAAGTATATGTCGATAACACAGTCCTAGACTACACGTCAGTTAGGATATGGCGGAAACACAGTCCTAGACTACACGTCAGTAAGTATATATCGGTAAGACAGTCCTAGACTACACGTCAGGAAGTATATGTCGGTAACACAGACCTAGACTACACGTCAATAAGTATATGTCGGTAACACAGTCCTAGACTACACGTCAGTAAGTATATATCGGTAAGACAGTCCTAGACTACACGTCAGTAAGTATATGTCGGTAACACAGACCTAGACTACATGTCAGTAAGAATATGTCGGTAACACAGACCTAGACTACACGTCAGTAAGGATATGTCGGTAACACAGTCCTAGACTACACGTCAATAATGATATGTCGGTAACACAGTCCTAGACTACACGTCAGTAAGTATATGTCGGTAACACAGACCTAGTCTACACGTCAGTAAGGATCTGTCGGTAACACAGTCCTAGACTACAAGTCAGTTAGGATATGTCGGCTACACATTCCTAGACTACTCGTCAGTTAGGATATGACGGCTACATATTCCTAGACTACACGTCAGTAAGAATATGTCGGTATGTCGGTAACACAGTCCTAGACTACACGTCAGTTCGGATATGTCGGCTACACAGTCCTAGACTACACGTCAGTTAGGATATGTCGGTAACACAGTCCTAGACTACACGTCAGTTAGGATATGTCGGCTACACATTCCTAGACTACTCGTCAGTTAGGATATGAAGGCTACATATTCCTAGACTACACGTCAGTAAGGATATGTCGGGATGACGGTAACACAGTCCTAGACTACACGTCAGTTCGGATATGTCGGCTACATAGACTACACGTCAATAAGTATATGTCGGTAACACATTCCTAGACTACACGCCAGTAATTAGATGTCGGTAACACAGTCCTAGACTACACGTCAGTTAGGATATGTCGACTAGACATTCCTAGACTACTCGTCAGTTAGGATATGTCGGTAACACAGTCTTAGACTACACGTCAGTTAGGATATGTCGGCTACACATTCCTAGACTACACGTCAGTAAGTATATGTCGGTAACACAATCCTAGACTACTCGTCAGTTCGGATATGTCGGCTACACAGTCCTAGACTACTCGTCAGTTAGGATATGTCGGTAACACAGACCTAGACTACACGTCAATAAGTATATGTCGGTAACACATTCCTAGACTACACGTCAGTAATTATATGTCGGTAACACAGTCCTAGACTACACGTCAGTAAGTATATGTCGGTAACACAATCCTGGACTACTCGTCAGTTCGGATATGTCGGCTAAACATTCCTAGACTACTCGTCAGTTAGGATATGACGGCTACATATTCCTAGAATACACGTCAGTTAGGATATGTCGGTAACACAGTCCTAGACTACATGTCAGTAAGTATATGTGGATAACACATTCCTAGACTATACGTCAGTAAGTATATGTCGGTAACACAGTCCTAGATTACACGTCAGTAAGCATATGTCGGTAACACATTCCTAGACTACTCGTCTGTTAGGATATGTCGGTTACACATTCCTAGACTACACGTAAGTTAGGATAAGTCTGCTACACATTCCTACACTACTCGTCAGTTACTATATTTCCTGAACAACTTTTAGTTCACATGCCAGTTAAGTATGCATGATCAAAGACTTAATATCAGTCGGGATATGACTTACACTTTCTTTGGACTATATATCATTATTAATCAAGACCGTATACCCATACTCATTATCTATACTTAAGTCAGGACTTATCTTTCACATTATTTTACACCAAATATCACTCAAAACTGCTGTACATATACTGATAGACTACATGATACTGTGTATTCCTTAGACAAATTCCCTCACAGAAACAAGTCAGCCAGGATATGTCATACATACACCTAGACTACACATCAGTAGTTAAGTGTCCTTGACATACTCCTAGACTATACCTCAGTCAGGATATATCATACAGACTGATGTCAAATCTAAAAGTATGTGAAAACAATTATCCTTCCTGGTGTATAGTCCAAGACAATGTTCTGACTGATGTGTGCGATTAAAGTGTACATTGCATTGAACTGATTATTGGGTTTAAGAGTATTTGTAGTTTTGATTGATGAGTGGTCTATGAGAATGAATACTGTAAAATCGTTAATTTTCGTGAGGTTAACATTTCCTGGTTTTGCATTTATTAGACTGTTTCAATGACATTATTTTTCGATAATTTTCGATTTTCCCCGAACTATATCATTCCAAATTTATGTTTTCATGGGGATTTAATTTCGTGGATTTTTGTTATCCGCGAAATAAACGAAATTTAATGTCCAACGAAAATTCACGATTTTACAGTAAGTCATAACCTGACTCTTATGTAATTAGGCCTTACATACTTTTATATGATTGGTAGCATTATAGTAGATTAAGATGAATTGCACCAATACCTTATTTGTATTTGATTTCTAAAGGATATTTCGAATCTAATTATACAGACATACATGTATATAATACATATAAGATATATATCAATGACAAACATCGCAAAATAGTACAAATATAGCAATACATTGCAAAGCAGATAAACAGCTCAATTTTGTCTAAACTAAAAATGCTAAGGAAACGATTCGAGCATCGAACACATGCAGTAGTGGTGACACCTGTGTACTCAGTTTCATCAACCTCATCGGCGAGGAAACCATCACTTTTACTGTATAATGAATTAATGAGAAATAGTAAAATGAATCTCCAACAAAGATCGCATGCAGCAAATCACAAAATCACCAGCACATTACACCAAGGGGGACAAGTGCAAGGACGTGAACAGTCCTCTCTGTAATTTCTTTCTTCAAATAATTGACACAAGTGAAGACAAAGGTAAAAAGAAACACCAGCATGCAATGCAAAAACTGGCAACTATGACAATTGTATGTCATATATACTGTCAGGTATTCTCTGATCGCCAGTATGCCATGTACAAGTTATAAAAATGTTGACTTTTATGTAATTAAACCAAAATTAAGCATTAGGATCCTTGAGAAACAAAGTGTCATAGTATTCTTATTTTGATACTACAAAATATCTTCCATGGTAATAACAACCATAATTTTTGGACTATGTCCTACTGAAAAATTAACCCAATAACCAAACAGTATTGTCTCCCTGTACATTAGTGATCCCCAGGTAACTGAATCCACAAATCAACAAAACATATAACGACAGTTACATCTAAATACCTTTGGACTTTCCATCTATGACAAATTGTATGGCTAAGAAGAAAAATATTTTGAAATATTAGCTTTTTTTTACCCTGGAGAACTAAATTATAAACCGCAGCGTGAACACACAAGGGTACGATTTACCACGATTTTTAGTCAAAATATACAGACAAAACCAAAGGACTGAGGAAAACTTTACAGTAAAAAACATTATAAACTCTTATAAAAGGCGGCAAAAATCATGTGATCCGGAGGTGTCAGTGTTTCAGGTATCAAATGTGGCACTCGTCATAATGTTACCCGGGAAACCGTTAAATCTAGAATAGATTGTAGGTCACCCGTTATCGAGGATATCGTAAATAACTTTTCAAACAGTGTAGGCATTACAACTGTATTCATGTAGTTTGAAATCAGGTTAATTACATACTCCCTGGTATATAACGTTAGCTAAGAAGTTTACTGGTCAACATAAGTTAGCTAAGAAGTTTAATGGTCAACAGAACGCATCTACCCAAATAATTATGTTGCTTAGGACAAGCGCAATATATGTCAATTGTATGTTTAATTTACAGGCAAAAGTTATTAACTCTGTAACTTCAAAATTAAAAAAGAATTCACCAACCAAGATTGCATCCTATGGATGAAAACCATATCACAATGATTATATAATTATTATACTTATTTAGCAAAGGAAGGCGCGTATTGGCGAAATGCAATCGCTACACTTTTTAGCAAGGAATGACACTGAAACCTAAAAATCGAACGTAATTGAATTCTCGCAGTTTGCTTTAATTTTAATTTTCTGTTAACATATTCGAACATTTTAAGTAAATATGCTACTACATTAATCGATGAAGTGTATAAGAAGTATACTGGTACAATTTAATAAAGGTGTTTATAAAAATATGTTTTTTTAACATTTACATGTAGTTTGGGATACGATTCGGCGTAAAAAAAGAACAACAGTATTTGAATATTTCCATTTCACACCATTTCTCCTTCAAATAGCATGCATACCACCAGTCCATATAAAACAATTGATTGCTTAACTGAAGGAACATACATTTGTCGTAAAGGCTGAAATAGTTACCTGCCGTGTATATATACAAAGGGGCATAACTCAAGCAATCATATGTTATATAAAACTTGCGTTAACAAAGACTACAGTACTACAATCTAGTTGGCTACCACTGGTGTTGTATAGCTAACTTACGTCTCCATATTCCTTTTGTGTGGTTCTAGTATTAAACTGAAATTCAAATTCAATGCTGAGATATTTTTAAGTGTAACATTGTTTCTATTTTATTCGTGTTTATGGAACTATAAAAAGTAGATCCAGACCTTCTGCATACGAAACATCTGTGTCAGTTGAGATACGTTAACGCTGCTTCTGACAACATATCGAACTACATGTATGAAGCATCATAATTTTGTTAGATATAAGCAAAGATAAAAAAAAAAATGCAAACACAAATGAACCAAAGGTCATTTACATTAAGCAACTTAACCTTAAAAACAAATTCAATTCGAAATGATATTATCTGTTCATTATGAATACAACGTAGGACAACTACAGACACTAGAACTATATTAATGATACTCACATCGCCATAGTCATGCTGGGTAGTACTATTGATTGCATACTGAAAAAATACATAACCATTGTATAGCACTCACACAGGTTAAATCCTGATTTATATGTACCCTATATATCCTTTTATTTTTTTTAAAGAATTAGTCCGATCATTCCATGTCGATGCCTTGGGGTTATGTAAATTAGATGTAATAATAAACAAGAAAATATAAACGTGTAAACAAACTGCATTTCAAACACAGGCAAAAAATGAACAGAGAAAATAATTACAAGGAGATCACTAATAAAAAGAAAGTCATAAATAATCTATATTCTCTTGATAGTGATGTTCATTTAGCGTTTTCTCAAAATCCATATGTAGGTTAAAAGGCCTTTTTTTATTAAAAGCTATTTAACGTCCTACTTACTGTGTTCATCGGAGGAAGATCTTGGCGGGTCATCTGAAGTGAAAATCATTACAAGTTGATTTTGTATTGAACTGTATGGCTAAAAACACATCAATCAGATAAAAAAAACCAATCCCTTTCTTTTCAATTTATTATTATCAATTTATCGAATGATCCATTACAATTTAATTTATTTTAATTTAATACCTGCGATTCCCACATATACAGATGAATACATAAAAGTACATTAAGCATATATTAAACACCCCCCCCCCCCCCCCCCCCCCCAAAAAAAAAAGGAAATGATCCATATGGTAGCAATATAACCATAGGACAATTTGTAGTGAGATATCTGTATGATGGGTTAATTCGACATACATTTACCCGTATAAAGTAGCATAGATCACCTACAGGGACGCTTATGAGACATAGAATGTATAAGGCAAGCTTTTTGTTTGAATGTTTGAATGCTTAACCTCATCAATTTCGTGAAAGTGAAAACATTTCATTATGAACTTATGTTGCAACACGCGTGGGACCCGCCTAAAGTTGTTAACTTACGTCATAATGGGGATATCGTCGGGGGCTGTTGGCCCCGACCATGGGAGGAGGGGACACCCCATCATAACCCTGAAAAAACAAAAGCACTGTAATTAAAAGCATACAACGCTATACCAGGAACTTTAGCTATAGACGTTGTTAATAACTGATGGGTAACAAATTCATTTTCAGAATGATCTTACATCAGTTGAAAATATATCAATATCTTTGGGAACTTACTGCACGAAGAATTAAAAAGTATTTGTGCAGTTACAAAAGCAGAATTTCGTTAAATGTCAACCATTCATGAAATGGAAAACAAGTATTCATACTGGTATGACAGCTCAGGAACATATTATTTCGGAAAACATGATCGGAGTAAAGATTATTCAAGTGAAAATATTAAGACGTTTCAAGCCACTGTTCTCCATACTCTGATTCGTGTCGTACGTACCCTGCGGTCTGAGCGGTCCGAGTAAGGGGGCTGACGACGTGGTGATATCGGGGAGTGATGGGGGGATCGCCGAGGCTCCTGCTGTAAAACGGGGAAACCAATTTACATACACTCTATAAATGTTGCAATATACGTATGCATTGTTTTTGACATCATGTGTTAAAACTTTACTATAACATTTATGTGAATATCCTAATCCGTAAAATTGATGGAATGAAAAAAGGAACCATCCAACTTTAACAGTGTCCATCTCTCTTATTTGTAATCGTGGATAATACTGTTCGTTGTTCTGAGACAATTAAGTATCAGTGTGGTGCAGGTATAGATCGAAGAGGACCACATTTTCCAATACATGTAGCATAAACAAATCACGCAAGAAGTATACAGTAACGTTTGCTCAATTAAGGAGGCATATCAACACAAAATATTACTTCAGTAATTTGTTTTGAGAATTATTTATTATACTGTTTCATTATAATTAAAACACATACAATTAAGCAAACTTGAGAGTTGTCGATAAAGCAAAATGTAATTTATATAAATAACGGATAAGATCAGAATGATAGCATAAGAAAGGTAAAGAATATCTTAACGAGAGAAATATTGTTGTTATTGATGTGATGCCAACTAACATTATTTATAATCTATAAACACTGCAGTATATAGAGATTATATAAGGTAAATGAATGCTTTGATTTTCACATATTTACGCTATCATTCAAATGATGGTAACTTTCTGACCAGTATGACTAATATAAAGCGAGCAAATAATATGCCGACTTGTATAAGTTGCATGATGAGAAGGAAAAGGCATGGTTTAGTATATACATCAAAGCAGAAAGTAGGACGCAACTTGCTATCTTACAGCTAACACACGTGAAATAAAACAGGGTAAGGTAAGAACACACAATGAACATAATTTTAGTAAAACAGTACCTGAAGAACTTATTGTTAACGAAATACTTTATCTTATTTATTTAACAACGATGTTAATGCTAGGGCATGTACATGAAATTTAATATGAAAATCATTAATTAAACAAACACAATGCAATTATGTGTAGAGTAGTTAAGTATCTATATATTGAAAATACTAGGTGTATTATACAAATGAAAACAGGTAAAAATTAGAAGAGATGAACCACGAATACCACAGTCTGATTGTCCCCTGTTAATTATATGATGGTAGCCATCATTTTGATCTCATGCGCGTGCTGTGCTTGGCTGAACGCTTTATCATGATGCTACTGAGTTAAGAGAACAAAAACCGTCCCACATCGCCAATACACAAGGGCACCATAAGACACGAGGAGACACCCAAACAAAAGGAAAAGAGTCCCCCACCAAATAAACATTGACCTACTCTAGACATAACAATGCAGACATCAGGGACGGGGTATACCTGGCGATAACTCGATGTGTATGGATACTTACAACAAAGAACTGTTCGCCAGGTTGTACGGGCTGACGAGGGGGAGCATCTCCATATCTCTGTGTAAAACACAAGTTATGTCTCCAATCATGTCGTCCGATTGATTAAATCTCGATGATCAAAAACGTTTAAATCTTTACTTGTTCTTAAGCCCAACTTCTCTCCTTTCGATTGTCTTTTAACAAACCTATTTGCATGTCACCAATGTTATGTCTGCTTCTCTAGTAAAGCAAAACCATTTCTTTTCTGTATTGATAATCAGTTAGGTGTGTAAAATAATAATAAAAAACCTTGCTAGATGAAAAGCCAACTTTCAGGTAAATCTAAGTCATAATCGTTTAAAATTATTACAAAACACGCATTCTTATTTATCTTATACCAAAAATAACGCCAACTAAATAGAGTGAATCTGTTCGATCAGTTCATTGTTTTAAAGAAAGTAATAAAATAAACACAAAACATAGAGAAAAGAACAAATGTAGCCAGCTAAAACTCTGATTTGTGAATTGAATATGTATCACTTCAGCAAATATTTTCTCGAGGTATTGGATTTTGACAAAACTAAATTTCTTCACGATATTGAAGACATACATTGTTATAGAATGAAGGATTCTGATTTCAAATGCTTTTGTACGTACAGAATTAAAAGGATGTTAGATTACCGATATCCAAGAATAGATAGAATAAGAATACATATAATCTGGTTGAATATGTGATACATTGCCTTTGTTTTGTTGATACAGCTGACAGTTAACATATCGATTATATTTCTATTGTCGTAGGTATATATCGTTTTATTTTGTAGGGTATATTAAAATTGTTAACAGGTATAATATCTCTTTAGTTATTATTGATTGTTTCTAATCAATTTTGAGGCAATTTTTCAGGAATGCGTTAGAATGTCGTAATAAGAATAAAAGTAAAATCCGAAAAAGAAATGTCTAGCCGTCAAACAACACAAACGTCCCGGTAAGCAGTAAGACATCCAGGGGCGATAGTACGAGGCCTGTCAGTTAACACTTGGGGTTGTATTTATAGTTATGTTTGACCAATGTAACATAGCAACATATTGGTAAACGACGGTTGTTCTGCCCCCATATATACGTGTTAATCTAACAGACCTCGTTCTGTCTTGCCCAGAACTACAGCACAGTCTTCTCCTCAGTACTTACATTATCTATGAACTCCTTGGGAGCCTCCCTGAAGTATCTAGGTTCTCCCTGCAATTTCAGGATAAACAGATTTAGCATTATAGTCATATATATCTACTCATGGAGATTTAAATTATCTGATTAGGATATACGAAATCTAAATGGGAAACGATTACGTGATCATACAATGTAGTAAACAAACACAGATAAATCAGGCTAATGGTTCGCATTCACATACATTTCTTTATTAAAGATGTATGAGTCTGCTCCAGTCTTTCCAATTACTATGTTAGCTGACTATCAAAAAATTGCAAAAGGTATCGTTAAGTTAAAATCAATGAAAAAGTTAATTTCTGCTAGATTTAACCACTACATAATACTTCTTGTAAAATATCCCTACTGACTTCCAATCTGAAAGACGAAAAACAAACATCAAGACACTTCATACATCGCAATCATAATTCCTCCATTAATATACTACTGACAATATGTAATTTCTTAGAGGATATCTAACAGTGTCTTCAGTAATACCATAGTTAATATATTTTACGAGTATGGCTAATATCTTGATAACTTTCACAAGTGCGCAGCACGAGTGAAAGATATCAAAAGATTAGCCCCTCGAGTGAAATGAATTTGGTATAACTGAAGACACTGTTAGATATTCTATTAATTATATCTAAATCAAATTATAATAATTACTATAATTAAGTAGATACTTAAGTTCATATTTGTAATTAAGTTCTCCAAATTACTATCGCTTTGTAAATAATTGATAAAATATCCCGTCATATCTACTCGAGTCTAAAATGTTCGGGAGTGGGGAAATTGCAGAGTTGTTGTTTCACCACTTGTCCTGATGATCAAATATCAAAATTTATGTATTTGTAAGTTATACTTAATATCTGTTAGAGATGACTCTGGTTTTTCTCACAATTTCTGCAAGGCGCTTAACCTAACTAAGGACTTGGAGACGCTGGTACCGTCACGGTTTCATTTGACATGCGTTTCCTGCATAGTTTGCTGGCTATTACACGTTGTGTTTCTACATAACATTTCTGATTAGTCTGGGCAGTAAAATGGGCTGATGTCTCGAACGAATTTTCTTGAAGCCTGCGTATCGTTACGCTAACCACACAAGTGAGAAATCTCACTTTCATAGAATAAATAATTGTCAATATTTCCCTGGTAAAAATGTAATAAAAAGACATGTTTACTACATAACATTTCTGATTAGTCTGGGCAGTAAAATGGGCTGATGTCTAGAACGAATTTTCTTGAAGCCTGCGTATCGTTACGCTAACCACACAAGTGAGAAATCTCACTTTCATGGAATAAATGATTGTCAATATTTCACTGGTAAAAATGTAATAAAAAGACCACATATACACATTCAAAAACTTACACGTGGATGACTGTCCTGGTTGTAACCACCTCGCGGGGAGGAGTCTCCGTGAGAGGGGTTTCCACGGGGCGACTTCTGTATTCAAACATATTTCCAAGGTCATTTTTGGTATTGTTATATCTCACATTAACATATGTAACAACTTTAAAAGTAGAATATCTTAGTATCATGTTAAATCATATTTTAATGATATTATAGCACTGCAATACTGCACTAATAATTTTATTTAATATGAACAGTATAATAATGTTATAACATTACATGAAGACATATATCATAGTAACGTATTTTCGCATTGATACACAAACGTACAAATCGCACAAAAATGACAATAGGATGGTTGGAAAATGGAAAAAATAAATACCAAAGGTTCAATACACAAGGATAATGTGAATACCTGTTTTATGTTTAATTATCATGCATGTTATTTCATATTATGGAAAACAAACATATCGTTAAAATTACTTTGATCAATCGTTTTCTTTTGGTGATACTGAAATCAAATGCTAACATCAATGGCATCATGTTTCCGAACGTAGATCTATTGAGCTATCCCTGCAACCATGGCATACATCTTACTAACGCTATTTGATTCTGACTTATGTAATTCATCTAATCTGATATCATGGTTGTATTGTATTGCTTGACTTTTGCCTATTTAAAACCAAATCAAAGCGATACTAAATGGCATCAGGGTAAGAGACATTTGAAACACCCAACAATAACAATGTAACCTTGACCATAGGCGTGCAACCAGAGGCTATACCAGGTGACCTGGAAAACATATATACTGATCGTATCTACGCCACACGTGAAATATGTGATTATGTCATATCAGTAAAAAATGAAACATTTAACGCTTAAAACAATCGATATCAGAAATATACTTGGTTCATATCTTACAGAAGAAGATAACATGGAAAAACATGAATTTTCGAGTACTCTTGATAGGTATTTGTATTAAAATAGATCATATTTACAAGGAAACTGTCCTCGTTTATTGAGGAATGAATATATAGAACTTTGATCGTTTAAACATCTACAACACCTATTATGATACTAGAGAGAACATAAAGGTAAGTAATCAGACAATAAGCCTACATTAGATGTTGTCTAGAGGTCGTATTTGCTTACATAATGTTCTAAACTAAATGATATATCAATAAGTAATAATCGTTAAATGGACTCCTATGATAACACCATAAACAACCTACACATGTAATGCTATCGCTCTATTGTAAGGGTAAGCGTTGAGTAACCACCGTTTATCAATTTATTATCCGTACCTACTCTCTTCGCGATGTGACATCGATAACATGTTCACACGGTAATATCACCACTACAAAACATATCAATCAGTGTTTGGTATTACACATGTCTAGTTCAAGCCTTGTTCGCCCGACTACATTGTATGTCAGGTTCGCCCTGGCTTTTTGGAATAAGATAAATACATGTCACGCAATTCGTTTAAGAATCTTACTTTTCATACATGATTAAACGTCATCTGGACTACAGCATCTCTCGTGGAATATTTTAGGTACATAAAGTAAAATAATACCTGGAGATGACTGGTTTTAAAGCGAAACTTGGTCTGCTTTGTTCGGAGAAAACTTTATTCATGATAAGTAAAAGTAAATGAAATGATAGCCTTACTGCGAAAAATGTCACGAAACAAGGATAGGGTATCGATACAGTCATCTGGAAACCCACCGACAAAGTCTTGGTCTTTTGTGTACACTGGTTTATTTATTTCAATCTCTGTTTCACGTGCAATTTAACTAGACTGTTACCATTCATGATACACACAAAAACCTTGTTTATTAACAAAACAGAACAAAATGATTGCAACACAATGGTACAATATCAGTTTTATGTTATTTAATGTGTTGTACGAACTTACGCAAACAGAGTAGAGGGGACATGATAAGCTGACATAACATTGAATAACCAAAGGCTATACATACATACTGTATATGTATCCATTTCATTGAGAGATTTGAATGTTTTGTACTCCTGACATTCCGTTGTATTTAAAAGTTATAAATGTAAAATATGAATGCCAGTCAAACCTCTAAGATGATTTTAAAAAACAACTCAACACTTAGCAAAGGCAATGCTTACTACCAAGGGGAAGGGGACACATTAAATAACTGTAAGTTATCTGTAATTTGTTCTATTAACGGGATTAACAGTGCGTGTCTAATAGAGTGGCTATGGTGATGGCTGATCAACACGGTGCCTTACCTACAGTACCTACAGCAATACAAGTATACAGTTGACACGTCAAGGGAAATCAATTACTTTTTGCTTATACAATACTATGGCAAACATCAGTCGTGGTGTAGTTTATCTATATTTCATCAGGGTCAATAGAGGGTTTGTTACTGGAAACACATTTCAGTTGAATACTAAGAGACCGTGCAAAAACGCATTGACGTTAAATAAGCACTGGGAATGAAGTGTGACTGTAATATCATTTGGTACAGATTCACATATAGATAATATTAATAATTGTATTCTACATATCTGTTCCCAGACCATCCATCAAACGGTAGATGTGTTGGTGAAATTAAATGTTTATCAACGGGTTGATTAGGCACATCATGTCTCTTCGATTGATTAAGATCATGGAATGTGAATCATACTAGTTTGAAAACTAGTTCCCTTAACCTTATGTCCGTCCATTACGGAAATTTATAATATCCACAATGCTATATCAGAACAAATACTTACATTTTAAAATCGGTAAAAAGTATTAAATTTCAATACTATTGTTTGTTCATTTTCAAATATTAAAAGGAAAATTTTCTTCCTGTAAATTATTTGAAAATTAACTAACTAGATTAGATAATTAGGTCATCAGTCACTCATTTAAAAAACCAAATGTCTATGTATAGTATATATATTGATTAGTAATAGCACTGTATTTATATACTTATTATACAAACTGAAACATATGTATTATGCCATATTTTGTTATTACTCCAAAGTATGTTATCTTGGTATCGGCGTTTAAACACTTGTGTGCGATATCTTGATTATGGTCGTGTGTGTTTTTGGCAATGTTGTTAGTCGATGTGCTATTATTCTACACATGTATACTTTTGGAGTTATACCCAACATTGTGTTTTATACCTGAAAAGGGCCCTTTATGAATGGTGAATGTCAAAAACACACTTTCAGTAGCAAGGGCCCGTCATAAATAGTGAAGGGGAAAAAAGATTTTCAGTAGCAGATGCACATTAGAGCAACATCTGTACACAAAATTTGTATCCATTGGAAAATAAATGATGTAAAAGCAGTTGTCCATAGCCCTAACACTAAACCCCTGAACAGTAACTCGATCTGTTACAAAGGTACGTGTTAACTATGTGGAAAAACTCTGCCAAAATAAAACAAAGACTCCCACCACTCCGACACATAAATCTAGACAAATCTCTGTGTATGTGTTACGGTAGCCGTAATCCATTGTGGGTTTCATTATTGTTGAGAGATGATGTGTTTAGAGGTGTCAAGTCCTACTTTATCATTATGCATTCAAACGAATGCAAATTCTAGCCAAATCAATTTAATTAAAGTAAGTGATAGGTCGTTTAATTGTACATTAATCGCTTCTGTGCTTTGCTGTTATATATTACGCTAGAATGTTCAAATGTGAAATTCAATGTAGGTACATAGACTGTCATGGAAGGCGATAGCAGGTCAATAATATAACAGATTATTTCAAATCATATCCAGATACAAAATGTTACATTTTAGAATGAAACATTCACCATCAAAACATTTCCATAAAAAAAGGAACTTTTCAATATATGTAACTTATGTAAGCAGGACATCTGTATGGCAAGCCAACTTAACATTTATTCAAGGAGCAATGTCGATCCTGTATTTCATCGAATTATATAAGATATCTTATATAATTATATAAGATATCTCATATGCGATATAAGATATCTTATATACGAGATATCTTATATACGATATAAGATATCTTATATACTATATAAGATATCTTATATACTATATGAGATATCTTATATACTATATGAGATATCTCATATAGAAATTAAATGAGATATCTTATATAAGTATATAAGATATCATATATACTATATAAGATATCTTATATCGCATGTAAGATATCTCATTTAATTTTCTATATAAGATATCTCATATAATATATAAGATATCTCATATATTATATAAGATATCTTATATAATTGAAATCTCGTTGCTATATAAGATATCTGATATAGAATGAGATTTCGTGGCATTAAAAACCAGAAACTAATTTCTCNTGCTGTATTTTCCCTAGGCCTAGCTCACCTTGTCTCTCTTATAGCGGCCAAAGCAGAGGCTGCCATTTCCCGCACTCTTGAAGTGGGCTCAGACATAATGGCGGCGACAGGAATACGTGTTGTTACAACAAGCCTACTGTCCCTATGTAGATCCTCGAGATATTCCGGACGGGGAGACTTCATTTTCGACATTTTGTTAAAATCTCGTTCCTATATAAGATATCTTATTTAGTAACGAGACTTTAATTATATAAGATATCTTATATAGCTATATGAGATATCTTATATATTATATAAGATATCTTATATAAAAAATTAAATGAGATATCTTATATACGATATAAGATATCTTATATATCATATAAGATATCTTATATAGCATCTCATTTAATTTCTATATAAGATATCTCAAATAGTATATAAGATATCTTATATATTATATAAGATATCTCATATACTATATAAGATATCTCATATACTTTATGAGATATCTTATATACGATATAAGATATCTTATTTACGATATAAGATATCTTTTTTTTTTTGAAATACAGGATCGACATTGCTCCTTGAATAAATGTTAAGTTGGCTTGCCATACATCTGCTATATTATAGCGTTCGTTAGTCATAGTTACCTGTTACAATTATAAGACAATCTTCCACAAAATATTTACCGATTATTTACGATTTTGAAGCTCCGTATACAGATAAGTCAGTAATCATAGTAAAATAGAAGTAAGTCAGTTATCAGGAAAAACATCTTCAGTTGGAAAAAAAATCTTAATCAGTGAGATGACGTGAATAATATCAAAATAAGTCAGTTCCTGTCGATAACATGTAAGTCAGTTGCTTTAACATAGCATCAAGATAAATCAGTCACCATTAATAGCCTAGTGATAAATCAGTTCCCATGAAATCTCTTGTTAAGCTTCTACGAGTAACATTATGATAGATAGAGATAAGTAAGTAACCACGAATAACGTGAAGATAAGGTCATTGCAACATGTCAGGTCATACATAAAATAAATCATTTGACAAAAAGCCTAAAGCTAAATAATGTATGTAGCCAAAATGACATGAAGAAAAGTCAGTTACCAAAAACTACATTCGAGAATGGTGTCTGTTACCACGAACAAAATCAGAACAAATTATTAATACGTGTATATAGATAAGTCAGTTCTACAAAATAGCATCGAATTAAGTGCATAACCTGCAAAATGAAATCGGAAAAGTCATTTGTCATGAACACTATTAATACAAAATATGTATCATGAAGAAAATCGAGATAAGTGAGTCACTTTGAATGGAATATCGAATGGAGGCAGTAACTATAATAACATTGAGATAAGTGATTTATCATGAATAGCATCGAAACGAGTCAGTTTCTACAAATAACATCCCATTAAGTCAGTTATTACGAACAATGTTGTTCTACTCCTCACCAAGTCAGTTGTACTTTTGTTTTCATCCTTCAGTTTTAAATTCAAATGATTTCCTTGTGTGTTGACACTTTGGTATATATTCATTTTTTTATTTACTTACAACAACTAAAAGTCTGATACACACTCTATATTTAAGACATCAATAGCAAGATGTGGCTATTTATTTACACCCGTTGGATAGGTTCACCTTATACTTACGTTGTAATCATGATTGTAGGTACTATGCTGGTAATACTGTAAAAGTAAACACACCAGATATATAAAATACATCAAAGGAATTACAAAGATAAAGTAATATATGTATAATACTATATCATAGACAATCAGCTGGTAGTTATCTATCTTCTTAACCTCTGTCAAAGGATTTTAAACCATGTTGATTCAAATTATGTTGCATTTGTCTTTACCTATTTTGATACATCAGTTATATTATCAACTCAAAGTTGCATGGCTATAATACAGGATATTATAATATATGAATGTACAAAAAAAAAATCATTAAATGTTTAAAATAACAATTTGATTCTACAAACTAAACACAAAATGTAATAGCATGCTTCACACTTAACAAACAGGTCGTGCAGCAATGACGTCATACACACTAAGAGTTAGAGCAAACTAGCTGAAAACATGACCAGCTGTAACCCATCAAACTTGGTGTAGTGTGTTAGCAAGTAACCTGTCATCTAGCACAGCAACAATCAGCTTGACCTACTCATATATTGAACACATGTATCAACTTTGAATGGATCCTTTGGACATGTTAGGTGTTGTATATTCACTGTAATTCGAAGGATAAATGAATCTAAATCCACAGTGATAAACACTATAATGTAGGTTAAAAACAGTATGATATGTTCACTATCGGGGTATTTCACGAATATGTATTCTCGAGAACTTTTATACTGGTGACTTGACCGCCCAATTAAAATCCCGCAAATTTAAATATAGTTAGTCAGTTTACCTTGAAATGAAATAATAGGTGTACTGTCGGTTCTTTAAAATATGAATTCACCAAGCTACAGTTGGGTTTTTTTCTGCTGCACTTGATTATTTGTCTATTTGTTTAATTTAATAGCATGACAGCAAGCTGAGAAGGAATCTGGACAATGCGATGCTGTATTATTTATATATATATCCAATGTCAACACATTGATACATGTGGTCTTTTTGTGTACCGTACATAAAAGTATTTAGACAATATGAAAACGTTCGTGCATCCAACCACTGCCACCGTTCAAATGGTCACAAGATAAGCTTCCACGTGTAGATGATCGTTATAAATGTGATGCCTACATAATATGCGTTTATATTATATACTTGACAATTTCTCGCAATCATACATTTTCAACTTCAAGCATGTGACCAGTTCTCAAAACTCATGTAGAACCGTTTACTAGTTAATATATCATTTTCTAAATATAGCTTTAACCATTGATAAACAGTTGTTTAGTTAAATGAGTATATGAAAGGTTTATTATACTTCAAATGAACTTTTAAAAGCAAAGATATATTGTTTTTCCAACTGAACTGCTTAGCCACGTAAGCTACGTGCGTGTCGATGTGCAGAGATGTTCTGTTCGGTTGTCCATCTTCTGTTATGCAGAAGCAATTGTTTACATCGTTAACAGCAATAACTAGATTATAATAATAATTTTCGGGAAGGCAAGTTTCATCATTCAAAGTTGATGTTAAGTATTTTTGAAGCATTGTAAACCAAGCTTAAATTGCTCGTGACTGAAATATCTGTTATTGTGATGTCGGGAAACGTTTAATTCTCTTTCGGGCGAAAATATGATTGGTAAAACGGAGGAGTCGTCATTAAGACGTATCTACACAACTCTATATCGATATTAGTTCATGTTTATTCTATTATATGCCATGCTGTATAATAATTTAACCATAGTAATAACATTATTTAATTATGCCGATGACTTTTAAAGATGCAGAGGGTTAGTATTCCGTCTTTGCGTATTGCAGAGTTATCTTCTCTTGTGAGTAGGTATTGATTGTTACGTCATTGGTTTGTGAGAGGAACGTCATCAATTTTTGAGAAAACGACGCAATTTTCTCACACAAACCAATGAAGTAACAATCAATACCTGCTCCAAAGAGAAGATAACTCTGCAATACGCAAAGACGGAATATATTCTACTCTGACACATTAGAACAACTCGATCTTGTGTCAGCTAAGTCAGCTATTATCATGATTTAATCATGGGAAAATTGCAAATCAGATTTCGTACATATCTTTTACCATGCTATTACGTGTATGATTAAGTATTCAACAATTATCGCTATGTCTTACAGTGTATTGCTAATGATAAGAGCAGCAGGATAGAGAGTTTAGTTGTTAAACAGTTAACATGACTTTACTGAGCAGAGGGTTTCCTACAGAAACACAGGTAATGCTGATGTCAATCTACTGGTACTGATCATGAGGATATAACATGGATGCAAGTCAGGCTATACAGCGTTAAAGGTAACAGTATACTTGCCCGTGCGTACACGTTTTCCTGAAACAATTGTTATGTAACAATCATTTGTTGTTCATACAAATGCATTGTCATTGCTATGTATCAATTTGTACCAGGTTGTAGGCATTTCAGTTGCTATAGCATTCGCAATGTCAGTTTAATTTGTGAAAACACGTGCAATTAATACTATGCTAATGGTTACAGTAGTAATGTATAACGTCCACTTTAGCAACGACATATATTGCCAATAGGATCGCGAGCTATAGCAATTTAGGCCTTATCTGTAAGACGGACTTTCTTGACTTTGTCATCTCAAAATACTAATTAAGAAGGAACCAGTGGCCTGATCGCCACAATAAAATCCAGAATTATATTCGTTGATAGAATTTCTTTATTCAAAAGTATACAAACACGTTGATCGTTTTAATAAACCACCAACATTTACCGTCGTTATATATGCCATGGTAATACATTTCATGGTCTATAATTAGTTTACTAGAAAGCAAGTTCTACATTATAATAGTGAAACTATTTATTACGATGCTGCATGCAATGTAAGATGTCATATTGTACAACACAAATACCCACAATTCAAATATTCTAGAAAAGGCGTCATCATTTGCTGCGTACGCTAAAATAATTATTTCGGTTTAAATGTCCTAGTGACCAGTACCGTTACGTAGCTCTACAAACACGAGCTAGCCCATAGGTCGGTAAGACACCTACCCTGTTCACCTTCATACCTAGCATGTTCTGGAACGAAAATATACACTTACACGAAATTAAGAACTTTGTTGTTTGAATGGCTAGTTCTATCCACTATGATGCATTGCATTTTAACATGAGTAGTAATAATTATCTTATACAATCAATGAAGCGCAGTATAGCAAATTAGTGGGTATAACAGCTGAAGTATTAGTATTTTGCCTTTCTTATGGTGACACCATTACCGTACAGTGATGTTAGAAACACGTCCTTCACGTGATGTTGAGGCACTACTTTTTATAGATCTGAGTATAGCAATACTCACTATGTTTGTGAGGTAATTTCTCTCCTATAAAGTTGTTTAGGGCATTATTCTCAGACAGCGCTTTGGGCGGACTACACACATATAGCGTTGTTGCAGCGCTGCTCTTTTTTGCGCCACTGTACCATTTAAGAGTTAGGGAGCGACTATTCAGTGCCCGTAAGAAAAAATAATAATGTCTAGGTATTATAGTATGCTGCAGTCATCTGATTTCAGGCTAGTCAATGACATCATTTTCAAATGTTTAGTGATTCCCATTACTAAGAGATGTAGAGGGTTCTCAGAATGTTGGCGATTTTGATTGTAGAAGCATATGACTCCGGGATTCAAATATCGGTGTCCCAAAAATCACTAATGCTGGTGATATACTAATGGTAAATTGTGTAAACATGTTGAAGATGAGGTTTTAGTGTGTTTGTCATACATTTTCATATTTTATTACTTTCATTAATATTTTTGTCTGTTTGATATGAAAAGATGTATATAGTAATATCACCTTTCCAGGCAGATCTCGTTTTCCAACACGTGTCCGGTCGGAAATAGATATCAGACAAGGATATTTCCCGTATCATAGATCCCACAAAGGCACGTTTAGCAACGAGATCGGAGACGAATGCGAATAATTAGTTTCCAGTTTCAGCTCTTTTACTAAAGTTCTTGAGCATAAAAGTAACCATGAACTATTTTCTATTTACTCTGAGTTAAAATGCTCTCATACGGCCTCCTATGGATCACATGTCAATTAACGCTTTCTATGGATCACATGTCAATTAACGCTTTCTATGGATCACATGTCAATTAACGCTTTCTATGAATCACATGTCAATTAACGCTTTTTATGGATCACATGGCAATTAACGCTTTCTATGGATCACATGGCAATTAACGCTTTCTATGGATCACATGGCAATTAACTTTGCAGAAATACGAAGAACGTAGCACCTAAATGAAAATCAAGTAGGGTCAATGCAGAATGCCAAAGTGAATTTTCTTCTGCACAAAAAGAAATATGTAATCGGACATCAAATAATACGTACCATGTCTGACGATTTTCATCAAGACTTCCTATAGGAATGGTACTTTGTGGACTGTCACCTGAAAAACAATCAATGCTATATTTAAACATACGACATCAAAAGCATTTAAGTACAAATCAAAGCTGGTCATACGTGAAATTAGTACTGAAGCAACACACAGAAATATAGTTACATATATAGATATCAACGTAAAACGACGCCATATCAGTCCTACTTGTGTTGTGTGAAGAAATAAAGGGTACAACTAGGCCAAAACCCGGATATTGGAATGATGGTCGATAGCACCAACAAATCAAGCTGCAATACTGCACTTATTAACTTCATTTTAAAACAAACTTCGTTCAATAATGAAAACGGTCAAGCAGCAGGCGATTCCTATTGGACATGCATTGTAATAATTTTAAAAGGGAATAGCATGACTTTGAATACATAACATTTTACCAAAGATTTACAACATGATTCATATGATTTGTTAATGATACAAATCACTGACTTCGGAAATATATGAAACGGTCCGAATGTGAGTAACAAGATTTCGAATAAACATTATAAGAATTCGAAAACATATATCAAGTTTCGAATTTGTTTTGGTATGTTTTTTATTTTTTTTGTTATAAATCACAATATGCCAAGTACAAATCACCATGTTTTAAACAACGTGCTTTTCAATTATAGAATTACGAATATATTTTATGTTGCAAGACACTCGTAATAGTTATTTTAATCATTATCTTAAGGTAATTGTATACTATTGTAATATCTTTTTTTATAGATTGGGCGGCGATTGACCCACTTTTAAATATACTTTTATTCTTCTAGACCACATTGGGACCGTTCTTGACAAATTAATGAATGACACTCAAATCTTACACTACAACCTGACAGCAAGGTATATCAAGATGCAGGTTCTGTCTTTTGCTATATAAATAATCTATTTGTTTCAGAAAACCAAATTAAGTACAAATGAGCAAACACAAATTATCAAAATCCTAATTCAAGCTGAGATCAGAAAAACCGTACGTGGGTGTTATCCGAATCGGAGAACATGTGCTCTCATAGAAATTATTTTAAGTAGTCAAAGTCGTATCAGGTAAGTGCAGACACCAATTTGAAAATGAACCACTTACTATTTCAACAATTTCTCGTGACATTTAAACAATACCATCCAATATACAAACGTCTTTGAAAGGGTGAATAATGTGTCAGTTCTCCGTTTGATCAACGTTATTGTAATGTACATGAATAGTTTTGTCAGACATTAAACGTTTTCTTAAAACGGCGTCATTCCCGGTGCGCCCTTGTTTGGTAATAAGTTTATTGCCAGTACATATTCTCTAATTTATTTCAAGAAGTGATTTAAACTATCAGGAATTTGAATCCGTGTTATGGCATAAGACATCGTCTTTAACCATTATTAAAGCTAAGGGTAAGTGCATTTCCATACTCTTTTTTTTTAATCTGGCGTCAAATACTGAAGTCAACCTTTCTGGCTATTGCATTGATACAATTCTGAACTACGTTAACTGTCAATTAGACTAAAATTATTATTAAGCTTTATTGTTAGACAGTGATGATACAAAAGGAAACTACGGTTATTGGATAGATAGAGATATACCTCTTTTCCTTTACAATCTGAGATCGACCATCTTAACCGCTTTCTCATTTCACCTTCTTTCTTTTTTCGAAATATTAATGTATACACACTCGTTAAATTGAACCCAATCATTTCAGTCGATTAAGTTTAACAATACCCGAATAAAAACATTAAGGATATAATGTCAGATTAATAAGAACACAACAAAACACTTAACTATTATAATGAATACTGTGATGTATGCACGTACACTGATTTTGCGACCTCAATTCAAGGTTAATCAAGTACCTGCTCTAAACCAATGTTGCTCTCATACACAACCGTCGTATTATCGTATTAATTTTACACAAATCAGCTTATTCAAAATTACAAATATTTCCAGATATAACTACATATCAATTACACACGCTAACAACAGTACATTCTTTACTAAGAAAACAAATGTCTGTAATGTGTAAATATAACAATCCCTTAACAGTTTAGGAATACCAATACTCCAGTAGCTTTTTTTTTTTTTTTTTTGTGTTTCTGTAAATCGGTTACATAATATATGTAAATAATCAGGTAAGATTACGTCGAGGTAACAATAACACCCTACACCAGACACTCAGACTCTCAGGAAGGTCATCCTACCTGGATCCACATGTGAAATCAATAATGAAGCCCTTTGTAAAAGCAGGAATGTATGATCTATAGTACAATGAAAAATAAGTATTTCTTTGAGCCTTTTCAAATGATTTATATGACAACAGTAGTAATCATAAAACTACAAAATTCTGATATTTAGGATATTTTGGATTAGCAAATAATGTCAATTGGCATATCAACTCCTTAAGCAGGCAGGCCCGTTCCATAAACGAAATCCTTAATTCAAGAATTTCTGCAAGAAAGAATTAATCAAGTTTCTCTATTACAAAGAACGTTCTTACGGTAGAAAGAAAACGTTAATAGCATAAAACATAATGACGTTCATAACAGCGTGTAAGCGATGAGTGACCGTTATTGTTACACTGTAGTTAAAAGAACACATTATGCTGACCAAGAGTAAATGTGATACGAGCAGAAAATGCTGTTTTACAACTCCAACGCGTCTTCAGTAAATTTTAATGCTATATTAAGAAACCAGGTAACTATCTAGATGTCCTTGTAAATAAGAATATAAAGCTGATCGATTAGAAATGGTACACAGTTGGCAGTATCGTTGGTGTGGCTAAATATCCCCGCAACCTATTAACAGGTATATTGATAACAAGATATCTGAGTCTATATGTATATATACTGGCATTTTTTAAACAAGTACTGATAAACCGAATGCTGTGGACATTACACAAGTTAAGTATAAGGTAAGGTGGAAAAAGTATGTTACATGCTTGAAGTTATATTATTTTGCCTGATACAAATATAGTTTTACAGCAACATTTTCTTACGTAAAAGTAAGAAATATCAAAACAGATCAAGTGTGACAAAAATATTAATGTGTATTTGTATTGTAAAATATATATATTTTGTTCACTATTCATTTCTAGTCATACTACCTCCCAGCTTTTTCCTTTTTTTTCTGGTTCAATTAGTTCTCATGCTATTATAAGTCACACTGAACTATGGTTTACAAACACAGGGCAATATTACACCAGCCTGCCAACACCATGTTTTGTGTGGGACTATGTTTTGTAACACTAGCTACACTATTTATATACAGGTACTAGCTATATTGTGTTAATATTCTTTACAAGTAACCAATAAAATGTTTGAAATGGCCAATATCCAAAAGTCGGTGACACATTACACCATGTGGTAAGGAATGGTACAAAGCACATTGTATGTAATAATAAATACACAATATGACTCCTACCAACGCCGAGGTGTAGCTATCTACTAAAACAGTAAGTGTCGGAATAAACGAATACAGATAAAGCTTGGCGATTTTATCGATATCTAACCCGTCAGGCATAACCGGTGTTGTCAATGCCACGCTTCTTGTCATAGCTTCGCAGTCGACAACGCGGCTTATCAATATTACATGACTCCGTCAAGTCTACATATATCCTGTCCTAATGGTAAAATTGTCTCGGAATAAAGAGAAATTCACTTCAATACTTACAGAATACACTGGGAGTTTCTTAACAATAATTCCAATCTCAATGGTAAGAATGTCAATCGATTGCGGTACCCGATCAGTTCATTCTGGTGCTATCTCTTAGGTGCCTTAAAGCTCAAAGCTAACGGTGGAAGTGGTAGGAAAGTGATAAATCCCTCAATACACGGCGACACACCATGTGTTGTGTGAGACTCGTTGTATCATCCACCGGTAACTAGGACCGTGCCTTTAACAATTTACTTTCATTGACTTTATGCTTACCTTGCTTTACATAGGATCACAGACATAGACGTATCCTCAGCTTGACAATAAATACTTGGGGTTGGTGTTAGAAAATGACATATAATAATTGTTATCAAGATTTAAATGCACTTAGGAATGTTAGTTTCTATACGATGCGCCTGGACACGTTTTTTACTATTGTTTTGTAGGGCCACCTTGTTGTATCGCCTGACGTCCCTGAAGTAGTCCAGCATGTTTAGCGTGTCTCCAATACATTGTATAAATACATTAACATAGATGTGGCATATAACGACATTTTCCTCTTTCACCGCGTTGTGTAAGTTCTAAACGAAATATCCAATGTTTAGATGAGAGATTTGTGTAAAACCTCAAACCTAACGGTGTATTTTCATTGACAAAGTTATGTGACTTCTTTGGTAGAAGTTTTCGCTTTCAGTATATAAGTAACGTTGATGGAACATATCCAAAAGTTACTCGTGGCCAAGGGATTGAATTATTCACTGCTTTAGAGTAGGCTTCACATGTGTACTTCATTGGTGACGTAATACACATTAATGACCAATTTGAACGTTACAATGTATGTGGTTACTAGAACCTACCTCAGTACCTTCACGTTGTATGAGGAACAAAGGGAGAAGGTATTCTTACTATACTATCACGGAGTGTAGAGTTAACGTTAAGATCAATTTTGATAGCATTTATACGGAGAGGTGTTACCTATAAAAAAACAAATGTACACTTGGCAATACGGTATATCAAAAGTTATCTACACAGCATTAATTAGCAAACATTAAAAAGCCTTTCTGAATTTCAATTAACATTTGTACCACTTATGTTAAAGACAGTCATGTACACACTAGAATGTCATGTTTTAAAATAAGCTACATTTGTAATCAAAGTATTTAGGTCTACTGAAATGTGAGGATATTAATCTATTGTTGAAATACCCATGCTATATCAAAGAGCACCTATACATCTGATCGTTACGACGGATAAGTAGCTGAAGTTGTATTTATATACTATCAAAATACGACAATAAGATAAAAAAAATAAAAAATAAAAAATAAAAAAAATAAAAAAATCCTTTAAGCTGATGATCAAAAGAAATAATACTGCTTGATAC